GAAATGGAGATGAAGTGGCATAAATGGTGTACGAAGTTTTCGAAATTTGAGTCCTATATTGAATCTTGCGGAACTAGGTCATTGACTGGTCATATCTCAATTCGAGGCTCTCGCCAAACGTCAAGTATCCTAGGTATTATAATGATCCATCTTAGTTGACCCTTAACGTTTTCAAGATACCCATCAGACAAATCGGAAGCTAAGCTCAAACAAGGACACTAACCTCAAAAACATCATTCACATATCACGTACCCAATGACTGTGATTGACGATGCATTAGAGCGAAAGTATCGCTCTAGCTCGACAAGATAAGCGATCCGTTAGCTCCTGATATCAGAACCCTTTCAACTTAGCTCCATCGATGTCTTAAACTGGTTCGAATATTCATTTGCACCAGTAAAAGCATAATGAATTCCCCCAAGACTCTTGAAATCAAATGTTCCATCATCATAAGAACTATCAATTCGAAGCATATATTCCTCCATAACAGCAGACATCAATTCGACAAAGAATACATCAACAACAACAACCGACAATGGCCGACCCGAACCGTCTCCACAAGATGTTCATCAGCGATGGCGACGACATGTGTAGAACCTGCAGCTACATGCTCCTAACCACCTACGGATTATTCGGGCTCATCACGCGCGGATTCGATCACGGATGGATTCATTACCCCCAAGAACCCATGTCATTATCCAAAGACATCACATCTCCATGTAGCACTCCTCCCAATCCCAAGAGTTCCTATGACCTCCAACTCCTGGGCTGGGGATGTCACTTCTGCGCACTGGTTCTCAGTGATCCAAAAGCAAGTCAGAAAGGCTCACAAGTTACTCACCCCTCAGTTGCTCACAAATACGTCATTGAGAAACATCATGAGTTTCGACATATTGGTTTTCGCGCAATTATTGTCAATGACGCAGGCGAGGAGGTTGAAAATCCGTTTCGATATCGAAAGTTTTCGTTAACGGGTAAGAACTCGGATCTTCTACAGATGACGGAGGTGGTGGAATATTTTTATAAGCATCATCTTCATGTGGGAGGTATTGCGGTTGAGAGGGGGAGTGAGGTATCTTACACGGTTGAATGGCATGTTCAGATGGGTTCTCTGTATCCGGGAGTGAGCGCAGACTACCCATGGTATCGATTCACTGGTGTTTTTGATTTGTCCAGAACGGGGGGATTAAAACGAAAGGGGATAGGAGGAGTGTTAAATCCTAGGCAGAAACTTCCTCCGAGTAATCTCCGCATTTGCGACGAAGATACTCCTGAGGACGTTGAAATATGCAATATCAAAATGCTAAGTACGAAACTACAAAGTTTTATGCTACAAGAGGAATGAACAGTACGATTTTCTTGACCGGCGTTTGGGAGTTTTTGGCAGCATGGATACCCTCTTACTTGGTAGCCAAAATATTGGATTTGCTGGAAATTTATTAGCGATCTGTGAAAGGAGAAAAATTCGTCTGGTATACATTTGAATATTAAGATAATTCTTAAAATCTGTCCCCAGTATCTAAATTCAAAGCTCGAGATGCAGTCACAATCTTCAATAATACACATATAGTCAAACAAATTGACTAATCACGAAAACAATAAATAAGAAGCTGGGTAACTCTTGAACAGATATATTTTTGATCACTTCATTAATTTCAATCTACTTCAATTGTTCCAAAAGTGCTCGCCCATAATCACCTCGGTTAGGCAATCTGTTGCATGTATGAATGTGACATCTTGCTGGACTTGTATTTGTCAAGAAAACTAAAACAAGGTCAGATATGTCAAACAGGAGAAATGGTGAGACTTACTTCCACAATGGAAATCCAATTCCATAAATGCTACCGGGCTGTGGATCCGATAGTAATAAGGATCATCGTCTCCGTATTCTCCGATCCAAGCGAAATATGTTTCATCGAGATGTTTCTTAAATAGTGCAACCCTATGCTCCAAAACCGAGTCGGGATAATATTCATTAAAAGATTTGAAAAGCTTGATGATTTGCTCTCGCTGGTTTGCTGGAAATTCAGAAACTGGACATCCTTCATGTGGTACAATCCTATTATCTTGTCTTGCACCACCAAGATGTCTTTCGTCAAAAGGATTCCACCTATCAGCTGGCAAACTCTTTCCATCCATACCCTTACTCAGAGTTGCCTTCTCTTGTAATTCTTTAGGTAAGCTTTGCATCAAGCTTAAACTATCCATCTCCTCTGATCTAAATAACCTCAGGCCAGCATGTGGTCCCTCGTCAATTCTATCAGGTTCTGCTCCCATGAATGTAGGACCAATCACCATTCTCTTTCCGAGGAAAACTACACAAAAACACAAGTGGTGTCCAAAGAATGTGTATCCGAATGGTTTGGTCATGGATGGTGTACCAAACAAGCGAAAGTTGTAGGAATGTTCATTGAGAACTTTCTTGCCGTTCACTAGATGTCCAAGGAAATCATTTGTGAGGCAACAAGCGTGAATTTTTTCATAGCCCTGCTTAGAGGATGAAGCTCTGAGAATGGCATGAATTGCGGCTTGAATCTCCGAGGAACACTCATCGAGTCGTAGTCCACCTATTTCAGAGATAAGTATGAGATTAAGATAGAGGCATCTTCACTCCTTACCTGGGTTCATGTATAATTCTGGATTCGACCACAGTCTAAATTCATCGTCTGTAACATCTCCAAATTGAACCACTTTTCTTTGATCTTCACTCAGGACCTTCAAAAATTCTTCCGTTTTCGAAATCACCTCCTCCGTTGGCGCACCTTCATCCTCAGCATAGTTATATAGCCCCTCTCTGACCTTTCCGTCTGATGTGAATCCTTTGTATGGTTTCTCTAGATTCTTTGCATCAAGTCGGTTAATCAGCCAAGCTGGAGCCTCAATTTGCCTTCTGGACTCGCACCAACTTAATGCTGTATGATCTTGTATCCCAGCAATGCGAGGATGGTCTGGGGTGGGTATGATATCGCGGAAAGGGACAGCTGCATCAGATCGAGGCTTTGTAGGGTCTGAACTTTGGATATATCCTGAATTCTCTAGTAAAATTGCCATATCTGCTGTGGATTAACAGGACTTAGAGCTGTGGTAAGAGATTGGGTCTTGATGTGCAGAAAGCTTATATCACAATGGGTTGTTCAAAAGTCTGGAGGAGGAATTGGTCTGGATATGGATGTTCTTCAATTAATCAATCTATGACTACTAGCAGAGCCGAAGCATGACCTGATAATAATGATCTGCCCATGGCTTCAGTTGATGTGGAGAGCTTGCGAAATAGTTATTAAGAGCGAACGAGTACGAATTGATTTGATCAAGTGGACACTCCTCTATCGTTGAAGCTTGGGAATTTCATCCTGAAGCTTCGGGGGATTCAATGCTCAATAATCCCCACAAATTAGCGTCTTGAAACCTTGAATTCCCCTCAAAGCTCCCCACCCCTTCGACTTCAAATCTTGTGGGGACTCTGGTCTTTTCTTACGCGTCCACGCTGATTGCAATACTTCCCGTACGAATATCGACCGAGTGAAATTGACCATCCACGAAGAATGGTGACAGGTATAGATAATACTGTATCGGGTCAATTGTTGCCATGATGAAGGCAGTTGAATCGGCTTCCATCAAAGTGGGGTGAAGAAGAGTAGGTGGGGAGTTCGAAGGTCATGTTTGTCTGAATCAAAACAGTCCTCTTCAGTCTTTCTCTTTCCTTCACTCCCAAAGACCTACTTGACTCAATTTCTGTTCCTCAATTTCATCAACATTGTAAATACCACGAAGTTCTAGTATCCCACCCATACATCAGCTATGCTAGTACCATCATTTGAGCGTACGTTGTTCTATAGTCCTATCGAAATACTTGTTTCGACAAGATAATTGACATAACATTCTAGGTCTCGTACGATTTGTACCTAAATCTTCTGAGGAGGTACTCATTGGTCAACCAGTAGACTCAGAGCTCGATGTGGGAGCTGCAATCATTGCAGGAAAGGACGTGAAAGTTGATGTATACAGCGGATCATCAGTCCTAGAACCGGGCACTTCAACTGGAACTATCACAGAAATTGGAAGACTCCTATCTCCCCTTGCAGAGTCTGAAGTTGGCACAATTAGATGTATTGGATTGAACGTAAGAAGCAAATCTCTGAAATACATATGCATAAGGGAATGACTAAAAATTGCAGTATGTTCAACATGCACACGAAGTTAAAATGGCCATTCCAGATCTGCCAACCGTTTTTATGAAACCTTCGACCTCTCTCGCAGATCCATATCCATCCCCGACAGTTATTCCAAAGTTTGCGCTGAAAGATGATTGCTGCGATTACGAATCCGAGTTGGTAATTGTGATTGGAGATAAGTGCAAGGACGTCAGCGAGGCAGACGCATTAAATTACGTTTTGGGATATACTGCAGCAAACGATGTCAGCAGTCGTGCAAGTCAATTTGCGCAAAGTCAATGGTGCTTCAGCAAAAGTTTTGACGGTGCTTGCCCAATTGGTATGCATTTTAATTCGTTTTTGGAAATTGAAGCTAACAATATTCTAGGTCCAGTCTTGGTATCCACGAAACTCATTCCAGACCCATCGAAACTTCGAATTAGAGGTCTAAAGAACGGGAAGGTGATGCAAGATTGCGGAACAGAGTATGAATACCCGATCCGGATTTTCAGCCGTAAACTGACCAGTAACAGTGATTTGATTTTCCCCGTCGCGAAAATTGTTTCTTTCCTTTCTCAAGGTACTACTATTTTGCCAGGTACTATAATTTTGACCGGTACTCCAGCGGGTGTTGGTAATAGTTTCACACCAAAGGAATATCTGAGGGAAGGAGATTCATTCTCGGTTGAGATTTTACCACATATCGGAACTATGATGACCAAATTTGAATATCAAAAGTAAGTTCTGGAATTGATGAGGCTACGCGGTATTTCAATCAATATATGGTAGCATTTGTCCAAAGTTCCACCAATATCCATTTTGCAATTTGAGTGAACATGATTTATTCACTCATGTGCTTCCATCGTCCGAAAACCTTCCTTGTCTCCTTCCAGATCGACAGATTACTCCATGTGAGTCTTCCCAACCACTGTATGAAGCTGCAAATAGCAAGATATCCAGTCGTGTCCTTGTAGCTACTCTTCTTCCACATCTTCTCCTTCCACCTCTTCCTCTCGCTCCTACATTTCGTATTGGCGGCCTTCTTCGTACCGGATGTCTTCGGATAGGTCGGATTGTCACCAGTCCAGGGGGTCTTCTACGTGTTTGTCTCCCGACTCGAACGACTAGGTCTAATCGAGGAGGCATCTTCGCTTGCTATGTGTAGTTGACACGGAGCGTTGTGTAAGTGCAATGGTTTGAATGATCAGATGTGGTAAATATCCTGCCCTGCCTTGTCATAGGGTATCTATCCACTGGGCTGTGATAAATTAAGCTATGACATTAATGTCACCAGGTTGCGATCAAAGAAGGCTCCCCTTCAAAGCTTAGGGGCAGGGCTTCTGCATTCTTTCTTCGTAAGTTCAAGGCTGTAGAGGCATCTAGTCTTGGACTCTTAGTTTCGAGAACAATATGTCGAAAATGAAATGATTGGGCATGTTTTATTTTCGGTAGAATACTCCACAAGGGACTGCCAATTTTGCAGGGCTGATGCACAGCCACGAAGCGTATTATGTCAAACGTGCCCAATAAATCACGAATGACATCTTACGGTTCGTATTCCAGCATACAGACGTTATTGAATAGCGTAACAGATCAAAAATGTACGATTGCGAATATCTTCAACAATGGTAATGGTCCGCTGTCATGCAATTTGTACTTGCCGAGTACCGCTAGTTCTAGGCAGACAAATTTTGTCCTTGCGGCTGAGAAACTCAAACTTTATATAAAGTGATCTAGGTAGACGGCTTCATTGTTTGAATTGTCCACATTGATTAACATCAACAAAAAGTAATATGACTTTCATCACAATGAAAATCTGCTGGCTCTTTCTCAATCTTTCCCATGTCGTCTATGGAATTATTCAAGCACCTCCACTACCTGGGTCCCATACTCTTGGCACCACCACTCTCCAAGTAACGGACTCGTCTACCTCCCGCAGTCTAATGCTCTCCCTCTTCTACCCTACATCCGCCAAAGACACATCTTATACATTCGCTCCCACCTTCCCATCAGCCACGGCTCTTTATTTAGCAGAAACCTACTCTCTCCCTTCCGCTACCCTCCAAGATCTCTCTTCTCGTTCCTATAATTCCGCTCCTATTCTTCTTTCCCACAACAATTCATTCGATTTCCCAATCCTTCTCTTCTCCCCCGGCTATGGGAATACGCGACTTATCTATAGCGTCATTGCCGAGAATATCGCTTCTCTGGGCTATCTCGTCATCACTATCGATCACCCTTTCGATGTCGAATTCATCGAATATTCGAATGGTACAATAGCAACCTGGGTAGGCGAGGACTTTGATAATTATACCGCTCCAATTCCATATGTGAATGCTCGAGTTAAAGATATGCAATTTGTGTTGAACTCTTTCTCGGATCCATTATTCACTGCTCAAATTCCTGGTATCCAGAATTCCTCATCCCATTCATATGGATATGGAAAATCTCAATCAATATTCCAAACCAAAACAGTCGGAACCTTTGGTCACTCATTGGGCGGAGCTGCAGCTTTCCAAGCTATGCATGATGATTCCCGTTTCTCCTACGGAGTCAATCTCGACGGTGCAATCGAAGGCGATGTCGTACAAAGCGGACTCGAAAAATCATTCATGATTATGGGGAATCAGAATCACACGAGGACGGAAGAGAGAGATCCCACATGGTATGAATTCTGGGGAAATTCGGTGAAGCTGGGAGGGTGGAAGAGAGATGTCAGGGTCAATGCGACGCAGCATGGTAGTTATACGGATTTGGCGGTGTGGGCTACGATGCTGGGAGTACAGGGATTTGAGGATTTGTTGGGGACGATTAGTGGTGTGAGAATTTTGGAGATTGAAACAGCGTTTGTGGGGGCGTTTTTTGGAAAGTGGTTTATGGGGATTAGAGGGAAGGTTTTGGATGGACCTAGTAGTGAGTGGCCGGAGGTGAATTTTGATTTTTGAGTTTGGGAAGGATAGATTAGAATAGAAGTATAGAGGTAGATTTTGGTGAGAAGAGGTGGGTGTAGTTAGTATACTTAGTTATGTTTACTGTGTAATGTATCTAATGGTATTTATTTAGTGCAGTTTCTGAGACTTTTGATATTATTGAGATGTGAGCACGCCAGTAGGTGTGTAGACTAGCAGGACACTTCTCGACTTTCAAAATTTGTAATGAATGCAAATTTTTTCATTGTTCCATTGTTCAATCTTGAATGGATTATTGAAGCAATTTTTAAGATGTAGAAATTGAGATCTCAAAAGATATTGTTAAGTCAATTATGTCTTGTCAGTTCGTATACCCACCGGTGAGTGGCCTTGTGCTTTTGACCTAATCACGAAAATCGGTAATATACAATTGAAAGGTTCATTAACCTGAACTGAAACTCAACATTATTAGGGTAATAGAAATAATATGCAGCGAAAAGAAATGTCTTTGATGAAGAAAAAGCAACAGTCCCTTGCATTCCCCCTCTATATAGGAGAAAAAATAGGCCGGAATTGACCACTAGTCAAGCCCTTCAATAATCCAAATATTCCTTTATAATTCAGAGAATCAAAAGTTTAAATTATTTCTATGACTGAAAATTACTCAAGAATTTATCCGATGTGATTGATTTCTCAATTTCCATTATTATTTGATTTATTATTGAATTTAATGAGGTGATTAATTTTAGCCTCTTTTTTCTCCTTTGAATAATCACTATCGATATTCGCTTCGCAAATCCCATCGACCACTCAAATCCTATTATTACCCCGTGGAATTCTTTTGTTGCATATCTGTTGTAGCGTGTTGAGCCTGTAGAGGCCTATAATTTGGAAGCTTTGCTATACATATATGTAGCATAGATAGTCAGATAGTGAGTGCATTATAAGTGAGTGTGAACATGAAAAAACTCGGTACTGCCTCTAGAAGCTTCCATGATATATACATATGCGTACAACTAAAGATAACGTCTTACTTTTAGATAGCAATTTATGTACCATGGCATTTCTAGACACTATATATCTAATACATATGCTATAATCCTATTGATACCAGTATAAAAGTTGAAAGAGCTCATGTTATAGTAGCATACTCAGCGTTGGTGAAATTCTGCGCAGTCACAATCATATTCAGACTCACACCAGAAACGTCATTTTAAAACTTCGCAGATTTCCATTACCTTATAGCTGTATGTGGCAGTGTGGTATTGTTATTCTAAGAAGCCTTATATCCAGCCCAATATCTTGCTTATAATATGGACTAACCCTCTTTGACAGCCTTTCGTTTTCGACAGTCCCTCTTGACTAGATTTATAATAAATTATCTTCTTTAGGGAGATCTTTAGCTATGTGACACTTTTCGACCATGAAAATAATCACCTGCCCGAGAATTGAAAATTTTCCTTTGCTGAATACCACACCCTTTCTCTGTAGGCCCCATATTTCTTAATTCAGAACCTGCGTCCTCAAGTTTCTGGAAAGCTCGTCCTCTTACTAGCTTTACAACAAGGATAAGCGATGATTTCTCGGAACAGGTCCATATTTGCCCATCGCATCGACCTCGATGTCAGACTGATCCATTATGTATTTCTTTCTGAACTCTGCCCTGATCGAATCTCGGATCTCTATCCACGCCACCTCCTGTGCAGTCTGGGATTTATAACGGAAAAGAATGTCATTCTCCGGATTGACAGCATGATTGCATTTTTCATCTAGGACTTGAATGTGCATCATGCGGGCCGCATTTCGCTGGAAGTCTTCTTCCCAGATCTCCTGTCGAATGACTTTCTCATGATGTTTTTTCAAATATGGCTTTCCCACGATTCCCTGTCTTTCTGCTTTCTCGAGCTTGTCATTTTCAGATCGGTATTCCGATAACACGTAACAAGTGATAACAAGAAATATCCAAGGGAGGACTGCAAGAATAATCAAAGCGATGAGAGGTGTGGTGGGGAATGGGCATCCCCCACCGTTGGTAATTGTGCAGCAGGAGGTCGACTTAGTATCCATTGCGTTGAGATTTGAGGTGGTTATTGTAGGAGAAGAAGTGGTAGAAGTTATGAACAAAGATGTCATAGAGCTTAAAGTCGCCGTGTTGTTGGAGAGTGTGAAGGCCATATTCTTACACCTTATACTGCAATGAGCAATCTTTTGGTTTCTACTAATTAGAGTGATATATGTTCTCAACGTGCCAGTAGCATGATCATTCGATATGACGTATCGATTGGTCTTATACTAGTGAACCCTTATTATCAACACAATTCCTAGGTGTATTATGGGGGAGAGCTAATCTTCAAAAGTTCAGGATACTATACTAGGATACACATAGATCAAGTGTCTTATAAGTTATTCCTAATATGCTTTTTGATCGAACAACATTTCAACTTTGCTCCATTCAACGACATATTTAATTTGAAAGCAATTTATTAAATCCAGATTCTAATTGTTCACTTAATCTCTGATATTCTTTACAGAACTATATAGTGATATTCATTATCAGTTCCAAACCTAAATAATGTACTATTGTTGATGTAGCATCGCTTATTTTACCTATCTCGTCTGGAATTTCCTGTTTCGACCAAATTGTAATATGTATTCTCTTGCGTATCAAGTAAAGAAGCCGTCGCCCAATGGTAATCTTAATGACTAATTAGATCATTAGTATTCTTGAACTTCGATCAAGCATTCATATTATTATAATATGAAATCTAATTGATATTATTTATACCTCAAAATTGATCAGGGGAGTACGTGCGTCGTGTACTGGGGATATGACCTAAGTTTGGGGCTACGGAGGAGGGTATGGATACGGCTTCTCTTCATAGCTTTAGTTCTTCTCTCCTCACCATTTATGACATCAATTGAGATTATTCAGTCACTAAAGTTTCACAACTTGACTCTGTGACAGCTCAAGGTGCAACAATACATAATGTTTTTCTGTTGACCTGTGAACGAATTAATTGCTGTAGACTCTGGCAAAAACTTGCTCGCGACTTCATTTGTAGCTCTTGCACGTTCGTTCATCATATACCGTACCGCTTCATGACCATGTATATAAAGCTGATGTTAAATACCAGTAACGTGATTTATCAGTGTGCGGGTCATATCAGTGTGCGGGTCATTTTCACCTCAATTCACTCTATTCTCTTTCAATACGCGTTTTTATCAACAATCCACAATGGATTCGAATAATCAAGAAGCCCGTATACTCCTCGCTATCGAAGCTATTCAAAAAGACAAAAAAACAAGTATTCGAAAGGTTGCAAAGATATATAATATCTCGAATACAACACTACAGCGTAGAATTAATGGTATTACTTCCCGTTCCGAATATCGACCTAAATCTTATAATCTTTCAGAACTAGAAGAGAATATCATTTCTGAATATATAATTGATATGGATTTGAGAGGATTTCCACCTAAATTAAGAAATGTAGAAGATATGGCGAATCATATTCTTGAATCGAGGGGTACAAAGCGCGTTGGGAAGCTCTGGGCGCATCGATTCGTAAAGCGTCGAATCGAATTAAAGACGCGTTTTAGTCGTGTTTATGACTTTCAAAGAGCTCTCTGCGAAGATCCTAAGCTTATTGAAGAGTGGTTTCGATTGGTTGCGAATATGCGAGCGAAATACAGCATTTTGGATGGCGATTTCTACAATTTCGATGAGACGGGCTTTATGATGGGTATAATATGCCCCGGAATGGTAGTAACTAGTGCTGAACGGAATGGCAGAAGCAAGGCAATACAACCAGGCAATAGAGAATGGGCTACAGCAATCATATGTGGCAATGGGGAGGGTGAAACTATACCCCCATTTCTAGTGGTTCAAGGACAGGTTCATCTTTCCAATTGGTATACCGAAACCGATTTTCCTGCGGATTGGGCTATTAAACCTACATCTAATGGATGGACAAACAATGAGACAGGTTTAGAATGGTTGAAACACTTCGACAAGCACACTAAGAACCGAAGAAAGGGCAGGTATCGAATGTTGGTACTAGACGGGCATGAAAGCCATGAATCAAGAGCTTTTCAAGCATATTGCAAAGAGAACGATATTATATGCTTAAGTCTACCACCGCATTCAAGTCATTTAACTCAACCACTTGATGTGGGCTGTTTTAGCAATCTGAAACGTTCATATGGTGGTCAAATTGATGGATTTATCAAGGCACATATCAATCATATTTCGAAGGTTGAATTCTTTATAGCTTTTAAAGCTGCATATAAAGAATCAATCATCTCTCAGAATATGAAATCAGGATTTCGAGGAACAGGTTTAATACCATTTAACCCTGAAGCCGTACTTTCGAAGTTAGATATTCGAATTCGTACACCTACCCCTCCCTCTTTCGATCTAGATCAATGGATCTCTCAAACCCCTCACAACCCAACTGAAGCTCTTTCTCAATCAATTTTAGTGAAATCTCGAATAACCCGACATCAATCAAGCTCCCCTACACCTATATTTGAGACTGTACTAGCTCTAGCTAAAGGTATAGAGAGATTAGCTCATGAGAATACACTTTTGAATGCAGAGATTCGTACACTTCGAAAGGCAAATGAGGCATTAAGCAAGCGTCGACGCGCGAAAAAACCCCAATTACGTCAAGGAGGAGTACTTACTGGGCAAGAAGCTCTTGATATATTATCTCAACAAGAGGTTGATATTCAGATTCAACGCGACGAGCGTCAAAAAGGGAGGAATTCTAATGAAGAAGCATCTTCTAGTCGATGCTGTAGTAAATGCGGAAAGACCGGACATAATGCAAGAACTTGTCAAGATAATATAATAGATCCTAGATTATTATAATTTTCATAGTTTTAATCAATTGATTCAATGGTTGTTGAATAATATGAGTTTGAAAGAGTGAATTGAGGTGAAAATGACCCGCACACTGATATGACCCGCACACTGATAAATCACGTTAATCGGAATCTCTTTCGTCAAATACACGACCAATAACCCCCTAATTTCAGTACCCCACTTTTCGGCCACCCCACTTTTCGGCCACCTCATAAATCTCACCACTCTAACCAACCACCTCTCTTCAATCTTTAATGATTCAACAATCACTGAATCAATTGATTCAAAAATTTGATATATTGTCAATTATATTATGGGCAGTGGTTATATTGAAGATGATATTGCTATGGCATTTAGTGCTATAGTAGGAGGTATGATTATCAGAAAAGCTGGTTTGAATTAAGTCAACTACCCCACTTTCCGACCACCCCCTCTTTTCGACCACCTCAAAAACCACACCGCTTTGAGTAATTATAAAATTTATACTTTGAATAACTCAACAATGCTTTAATCAATTGATTTGAAATTTTGATATTATTATAATTGTGATATGAAGAATAGATATACCGAAGAAGATATCGCAGAGGCTCTTAGAGCGATTACAAATGGAGCAAGCATACGAAGAGCTAGCTTGGATTATGGTGTTCCACGTACCACACTTCACGATCGAATATATGGTGGAGTTTCGCATCAAAAAGGCGCCCAAATACTTCAAAAGTTATCTCCAATTCAGGAGAATCGACTAGCAGAATGGATATTAGTACAGGAAGCTCTTGGTACTAGCCCTACACATCGTCAAATCAGAGAGATGGCAGAGCACCTCCTTATTGTACGAGGGGAGGATCCCTCACTTGGAAAGAAATGGATACATAGCTTTTTTCGAAGGCATCCTAATATTGGAACTAAGAAGCAACATCAAATCGATTCTGCACGAGTTTCAGGTGCTACATCTGATATTATTAAGAAGTGGTTCCGGAACCTCGCAATCCCTGAAATCAAGGCTATTAAGCCGGCCAACAGATGGAATATGGATGAAGCAGGTATAATGGAGGGTCAGGGTCTTAATGGACTAGTAGTAGGAAGCACTGATCGAAGATTTATTCAAAAAAAGCAACCTGGATCTCGAATTTGGACCTCTTTTATAGAATGCATTTCAGCCAATGGAAAAAGCATTACTCCCCTTGTAATATATAAGGGAAAATCAGTTCAACAACAATGGTTTCCAACAGATTTGACTCTATTCAAGGGTTGGAACTTTACCGCTACAGAAAATGGATGGACTACAGATGCTACAGCTTTAGAATGGCTGAAAAAGATCTATATCCCTCAAACTACCCCTATTCAGCCGGAAAATTCAAGACTCCTCATTTTGGACGGACACGGAAGCCATGAAACTACAGCATTTATGTTAGAATGCTTTAATAACAACATATATCTCTTACTTCTCCCACCACATACGTCACACGTACTACAACCACTCGATTTATCTGTGTTCTCACCCCTAAAAAGTGCATATCGAATCGAACTTAATAAATTAAGTCTATTATCCGATTCCTCACCAATTGGAAAGCGCAATTTCCTTTCTTGCTATCAGAAGGCTAGAATAGAAGGTTTAACTATTCAAAATATCAAGTCTGGGTGGCAAGCTAGTGGTCTTTGGCCCAAAAATATGGCTAAACCTCTTATGAGTCGACTTTTGCTTGAAAATAGCAATAGAGAGGTTTTATCACTTAATCCTGAATCTGATGATGATCCTATTCTTCAATGGAATATATATTCATCGTTTATTCAATGGAAAACCCCTCAAAAAGGAGCCGATATCAGAAAATATAGAGATATAATGATTCAAGAGAAGGAGATCGATTTGCCAACACGAAGATTACTATTTCGCAAGATTATAAAAGGATTCGATGCTAAGGATTATGAACTCTTAGAGGCAGAGAATAAGATTAGAAAGCTAGAATATCAATTAGATGAAGCATTACCTAGAAAAAGGCGAAAGGTTGTGGTATCTCCAAATTCGAAGTTCGCAGGGATTAGAGCTATAAGGCGTACACAAATTGAAGCTGGAGATCGTGAAGATGAGGTAGATGATAGCTCTAGTGCTATAGAAAGTGATTCTACAGGCGATTTCATTGAAGTTCAATAGTTATTGAGTTATTAAAGTTTTAAGTGTAGATAATATGAATTTTTTAGGTGGTCGGAAACAGGGGGTGGTCGGAAAGTGGGGTAGTTGACTTATGGGATACCCTGTATTACTCTTTAGTGCTGTATAAAAGGTCACCTTTCCCATCAAAAAGGTGCTCAAAATATGCAAAAGATAGCCTCGATACAGGAGAAAGCATTAGTCGAACGGATATTAGTTCAAGAGGCTTTGGGTATTAGTTCTATATATTGGCAGATATGAGAAATTGGTGAAACCCTTTTTGAGGTGAAAGGGAATGAGTCTATACTTGGAAAACGATGGATATGCAACTTTCTGCTTAGAAACCCTGAAATTCGAACCAAAAGACAAATCAGAATCGATAATCAACGTGTTTCAGGTGCTATTATCGAAATTATTAGCAAGTTCTTTGAAAAGTTGAATTTGCTGGCTATTATCCATATTAAACCGGAAAACAGATGGAATATGGATGAAGCTGGTATTATGGAAGGCTAGGGCTTGAATGGTATGGTACTTGGGAGTGCTGAGAGATGCTTTATTCAAAAGAAGCAGCTTGGCATAAGAAGTTGGACCTTTTTTATTGAGTGTATCTCTGCTACAGGAAAAGCACTATTACCCCTCGTTATATATAAGGGTAAAAGTATTCAACAACAATGGTTCTCTATTGAGCTTGATATATATAAGGATTGGAAGTTCCATGCTACAGAAAATGGGTGGACTACTAATGAAACAGGTCTAGCATGGCTAAAAGAGGTCTTTATTCCTCAAACCGCCCTTTCTGACCCAAAAGAGGCTAGATTGCTTGTTTTGGACGGGCATGGAAGCCACGAAACCACTCAATTTATGCTTGAATGCTTCAAAAACAATATACACCTTTTGTTTCTTCCTCCACATACATCACATGTACTACAACCTCTTGATTTATCGATATTCTCTTCTCTAAAACGTGAATACCAGCATGAGCTCAATAAATTAGGTTCACTATCTGATTCTACACCTATAGGCAAAAGGAATTTTCTTGCATACTATCAGAAAGCAAGATTAAAGAGTTTAACTCTGAATAATATCACTTCAGGATGGAGAGCTTCAGGTTTATGGCCTCAAAACCGCGCTAAGCCTCTTTTGTCCAGATTATTGCTTGAAAATAGCAATAAAGAAGTTCAGAGCCTGAATTCGATTTCAGATGATGATTTCATGCTTCAATGGAATATAGATTCATCTTTGATTCGATAGGAAACGCCACAAAAAGCAAATGATCTACGAAAATATATATTAATATTGGAATCTGAAAAAGAAACAGACTTATACGCTCGTCGATTACTCTTTCGAAAGATCCAAAAAGCATTTGATACTAAGGACTATGAAATTATGAAGTCTAAGCGTCGAATAAAGGAATTAGAACACAAATTAGAATGTGTTATACCTAAAAAAAGAGGAAGGTTAACACTAGCCCAAATTCGAAGTTTTCTGGAATTAAGGCTATATACCAGGCTCAAATCGAAGCCGATGATCATAAAATTAATAGAGTGGACTCCGATAGTATATATGAAACTGATACTATAGAAGATTGTATTGTAGTTGAATAGTTGTTGAATTATTGAAGTTTAAAATTGTATATATATATTTTATGAGGTGGCCGAAAAGAGGGGTGGCCGAAAAGTGGGGGTACTGAACTTAACTAGTCCTCTCCGACATTGCTCTGTCCCTTGCTGTATCCTTAGACGAGGCATATCTCGTCTCCAGTGGGCTTCCTAATCTACGCTTCATCCGGTACACTAGCTCTACCATAATAAGCAACGCTCGATTGCTCAGGACTTGCAGTATACATCTCTTCAGGCTCGACTTCTACGAAATATTCATTGTTTTCGTGTGGATTAGCCGTCAATACACGAGTATAAGTAGTGGAAGACCCGTGCACTGCCATTTTCCAATCTTGTAGAGGCTGACTTAAATCCTGATAGCTTATTGTTTGATCATGGCCCGATGATATAATTTGAACTTGTTTTGAACTTGTATCTCGAGACGCACGTCGATTAGGCCGCGAGGATGATGACTCCAGTGAGCGACGCCTTCTTGGTGACTTACGCTCAGGAGACTGTCGATCATCTCCGGACTTTCGACCGCTACTTCCAGTAAAGGGATTACGAAAATAGCCAATCAAATTTTTCGAAGCGCTAGTTGATATCTTCTGATGCTTGGAGTTTCGTGGTCCTTTCATCGAATTGTCTACGCGCGAAGAGGATTTCATGGAGGAAGATGTCGTTGATCGTTTTGCTTGTGGCCAGAAGTTTTTCTTATAGACAGCCATAATGGGTTCTACCAGCACCGACTCATCTTCAGTTTCCATACTTTGCACCATCACGCCAGGGTAAACGCACTGAAAAACATCTTCGGTGCCGTCACTGGTCATTGTTTTCCACGTTGAAATTTCCTTCACGAGATCTTGTGAATATTCTCCCTTGCTAGAGCTACGCCTAGGCTCGTCGAAAATCTCATAACTTTGGGTTGAACATTGCATCTCCAAATGAAGTTTGACAGCAGGTTCCAAGATTTCGCTTCGAAGTCGAGCTTTTGATCTTGAAGAATCGCCGAAGTCACACCAGAAAGACATTTCTTCCTCGAGATCATTTTGTAGATGAGAGATTTCTTTCGACTGTTCATCTTTGTACTCTCTGGAAGCACATAACGCAGTCAACGAATCTGCTTTCCATTGGCTGATCTTTGATTTTGCTGCCCAATGTATCAATTAGTATGTCAACTGTGATACTAAGTGAAGACGAGCTTCCTACCTTTTCCCATCTTAATCATCTCCTTCTCAATACCAAGCAACGTATCCTCTTGAGATTCGGTAACGCCAACTGGATATTTCCTTCTCAAAATTTCATTAAAGACGTATTTTCCAATTAAGAGCGACAGAATGAAGTAATGAAGCATGTCTAAACTCTTCAGGTAGTCTAGTTTGGGGTCCGAGGCCGCTGGAGGTTGGTATTCAATGCCAATAGCTCTCAATGCATGAGTCTTTTCTTCAGACTGGAGAGCATCTCTGAAGTCACTCCTGAAGTCGCCGGACTCGTTAGAGGACGCGTAATCAATCCATGTCTCAAACGCTCGACAGATTTTCTGATAATCTTCTCTAATCGATCCATCGGGTACCTGGTACTCTTTGTGTGCCAGCGTGGCTAGATGTAATGTTGATGCTTTCAACTCTCTTCTCAATTCCTCATTTTCTTTCTTGAGGTTGGCGTTTTCGGAGTCATCAGAGTCCGAATCGTTCATTTTGTATTAAGATGAATTGCTTGTGTTGAAGATATTTTGCAATGTTTGTCGAGCCTGCTTCACGCACTCAAGAAAGCGTAAAAATTTCGTGTTTAGGTGTATGCTGTGCGACCTCCCTCAGCCGCAACATGCCAACGCACCCATGATATGTTTCAAATAGCAATAATTCTCAGTGATTGTGTTGGCTGCCTTTCGCACTCGGTCAGTAAATCAGCACAGAAAGGCTTGTGGTAATTAGCAAAAAAAAAGAGGGGCAGACGGCAAGTCGTATGAATCTCACACGACCTATTATGCTTGATTGCCTGTGGCGTACACGGAAAGGGTCACATCAGCACTGTTGAGGATTTAGCATTGAAGAGCACCTCCATGTGTGCTTGCGAGTACTACCACGGCTGGAAACGCCTACCATTAGTGTCATAACGAAATACGAAGGGGCTGATCAGCCCTTCATAATAGATCCCGCAGAGCCTCAAATCAATGGATTATCAGGAGTCTTAGAGGCCAACATTTCGCTCAAATAGTACCACTATCGTGCCTACTCTTGCTATCACTTTTTATTTATCTTGTAAGCATGTCGGATTTGAGCGATAAATTGGAAGTACTGATTGCAGTGGACTTTGGTACGTAGATCTTCTGTATTTGACCGATGAAGTCAGCTAACTCCACAAGGGACTACATTTTCTGGTCTTTGTTGGGCTCTAAAAGATAAGGTATGCATGTCATGGGTGAAAATGCTAGCCAAGAAGACATATTAGGCTAACGTTTTGATTTCTAGCCCAACGATCACAATCTAGTCCAAAACTGGCCTGGAGATGGTGCTAGCCACAATAAAGCCCCAACGTGAGTAACTTCGTAACTCAGAGCACTCAACTTCTGATTGTGAATCATAAGCTAAGAATCTTTTCAAAGAACACTACTTTACCGCCCCGAGTATCTGTGGGGCTACCAAATTAGAGGAAATGACCCCAGATATGAGTGGTTTAAGCTTGGTCTTCACCCGAGTGGTGAAGGCAAAGGTCTTGCAAAGGATTATCCGAGTACCAACTCCTTGATCGCACGTTCCACAGATGATAAGGAGGGAGTGGTAATCCATTACTTGAGAAGTTTGAGGATTCATTCCGAAACAAATATGGCTAACACGTACGGTCCATCGGTGTTCTCAAGAATATCAATAGAATATATCATTACCGTCCCTGCTGTTTGGGATGATAAGGCTCAAGGCCGAACCCAGGAGTGTGCAAAACAAGCTGGAATGGGTGATCATGTACAAATCATAACAGAGCCTGAAGCTGCGGGTATTTATGCTTTAACTAATATGCCAACGACGTTTTTGAAGAAAAATGAGACGTTCATTCTCTGTGATGCTGGTGGGGGGTAAGTCGGCACTATTCGTCTCCTTGTCAGCGCAACAACTGTCAAGCTAACAGTCGAATTTCTCAGAACCGTGGATTTGGTTTCTTACACCATCTCAAAACTGCAACCGGTACCCAGACTCCGCGAAGCTGCGCGTGGAGAGGGTGGACTTTGTGGGAGCATATTTCTCAACCGAATTTTCGCCAAACACCTATCTGACAAGTTCGCCAATTACCCAGATTGGGATGAAGAATACCAAACTGATGCTCTGAAGTTTTTCGAAGATGATATCAAGAAAAATTTCGATGGAGACATAAGCCAACATTTTTTCATTCCCGCTCGTGGCTTGAATAAACCAGAATTGGGTATTCACCGAAACAAGCTCAGACTGTCAGGAGAAGAAATCAAAAACGTCTTTGAGCCCGTGATTCAAGATGTTATATCATTGGTGATAACACAGATTCGTAAAACTGCTAGACCTGTTACTGCCGTTCTTATGGCTGGTGGATTTGGCTCGAGTGAGTATTTGCGCACTAGAATTCAAGATGTCGTTGGCACGAGTATTGAAGTGAGAAGGGTAGCAAATGGGTATGTCTACTACTTGACAATTAAATCATGAAAAAGCTGACCTTGTGTAGCGATACGGCGATTGTCAAAGGAGCTTTGATCAGTGGGCTTTCGAAGAAGGATCCTGGACATCCTTATGCCATCGGAAGTTTCGGAATTGACTCGAGAGTAGCTCGCAGGCATTATGGTACCATGGCCTATGATACTTTCATTCCAGGTGTGCATGACGAAAACTTGAAGTTTGTCCCCGGAATTCCAACCATCTTTCCAGAGTGCTGATTAGAAAATTTCTAGGGAACCAAGCCCTTACTCATCTGGCTATGTTGTGCCATGTATGCAGTGGTTTATTCAAAAGGTATGTCATTTTTTTCGATGACAATCTGATAACTTCTCATTTTGATCGTAGAACACAAACGTCGAAGACACAAAACCAGTCGTGACACAACAGCCATTCTTCTGGGAGAAGCCTGTCCTAGACGGAAGCCCAACATTTATAGAAACAAGGATACTTGTCAGTGAAAAAGATCAAGCACCAGTGCATCTGGACAGGAAACGTGAGGACCTACTCTTCCACTCCTGAGTAAGGCTAATCATATTCTAGATGTTTCCGAGCTCGTTAAAATCCACGCAGATATTAGCGGCATACCAGCAGATAGTTTTCCTAGAAAGACCGGAGTTGGTCACCAGGCGTTCTATCGAATCCCTTACAAAATAGAGACGGCTATTCATTCCGGAAGCATCACATTTGCTTTATTATATGGTGATCAGCGATATGAAGCTACGAAAGAATTTTTGTAGAGATTTGCTTAATTTTCTTCATTTCGTGGTTCGCGGCTGGGAGTGATCTGTGGAAAATGGGTATATGTTTGAATTGATGTAAGCATATGGATCATCGCCATCAAGTAAAGGGTTGAAAAGGTCTTGCGAATATAATTAAGTTGAACAAATTCTCGAGCTTTTAATAGAAAAATGAACATGAGTGAGAAATTCTCGTTACCTCAAGGCGAAGCCAAAGAGTCAAAAAGCGATATAGTGGCTGGCGGGATGTTGCTTCAAAAAAGTAATATTTGTATGTTGTCCAGCCGCTCGAGTTATGAATTTGTACTCCCACGGAACCATTTCAGAAATATGATAGGTCCTAAAGTTTTTGGTTCTCCGAAGGGCGTTACCATGATCCTGGGAAGACTACCCTGGTGTTACCCCTTATGCAAGGCTTTGTCATCTAGCTGAAGGAATTGTTTTTGTTTACATCTTGAATAGCTAGCTTCTCGAAATTTAGTTTATTTTCTGATGTTGACATAATTGTCCATTGTTGGCTCCGATCATCGATATTCTCGAATCATCTCGGTTTTGTATACTTATACGAAAATTATATAAAATCATCGATAATCGAAACCTCAAATTGAAATTGTTCGCAGTATTGCCAAAGCTTGCGGATTGTTGATCAGCATTTCTACTGATGTCAAGAACAGTGCTCAATCACTTGGTGTTGAGGTACTTCTTCAATCGTATGAACAAAAATGCATTCCACTTGGAAATTTCTATTTCTTAGTATTTTATCTGACAGTTTCTTTCAGTCGCTCCGAGCTAATCACACATCGAGTCCTCTCTCGAGTCCTCGAAAAAAAAAACAGCCCTTCGCATCACCCTCACATACCCGACTTACAAACTCCAGCCGAATCCCGTACCACTCCTCACAAATCACAAAAATGAAAGAGAACGATGCGATAGCTCTCATAGTGATTCTCCTCGTATTCGCATTAATACTCGTTGCATTTTTTATATTTAGACTTTCGAGGAGAACAGTTTTTTATAGTGATTATTCTTCGAGTTCAGTGTCGGAATCGGAATCGAATTCCACAAGTTCACCACGACCTCCTCTGCCGCCACCGGGGATAGGAAGACCGGTTATTGGTGGAGCAGGAAGAGGTAGACCTGTTGTGGGAGTGGGAGGAGCGGGAAGACCTGTTGTTGGGGGTCCTGGACCTCCACCAGGGGTTGGGCCAGGAAGACCAGTAGTGGGAGGGAGCATGGGAGGGAGCATGGGAGGGAGCATGGGAGGATGGTTTGGTGGGGGAAGACCGGTTGCTGGAGCTGGAGGAGGTGGAAGACCTGTTGTTGGGGACGATTGAGAAGTTTATTTTGGGATGCTTTGTGATTTGAGATATGATACCATGTATATGTATATAGAGTTTTGCTTGGGATTTGGAATGGAATTGGAATTTTGTTACCAGAAGTGAACTTTGCGATTAGTTAATTTGTAAAAAAAGCAGTCAGCTCCCAGAACGAAGAACTTATCGCTACGAAGGTCCAACAGTCTGTATTCGTAGGTTTGTAGTATCATGTGCTCGGCATTCAGGAAATACTTGTAAGAAGTGAAATAACAAGGACAGTGTAGTCTTTCAAAATGTTTGATATCAAACGCTGGTTTGCAGGTTAACTTGTGTAACCATCATCTTGACATGTTGAATGCTTTTCGAAGTCCTATCTATAATAAATGAGGGTTCAATAGCGGATCTAGATGAAATTAGACCCTTCGGAAAGCTTACCTTAAATACCTATGTAACTTAACTTGAGTGGCTGTGTTCAGTGTTTGCTTACATAATACTCCCACAAGCGCACCAATCACAGAACTACCCGAACATCGAAAGTTTTCACTCATCCCACCTTTGCGCTTTATTAAATATAGTTTAAAACGGCGACAATTTATTCATCAAACGGATCTAATCTGTTCAAAGGTGAGATGGCCGAGTTGGTCTAAGGCGCCAGGTTAAGGTATTCAACTCTTATCTAAAGAATGTTACAGTCTCCTGGTCTAGTAATAGGCGTGGGTTCGAATCCCACTCTCATCACCAGTCTTTTGCCATTGTATTCTTTTTTTGTCAAATTTTTGGGAAAGCCATCTTTTTCAATGTCGAAATTCGATCGGAATTCCACCCTGCAGGGACTTCTTCCATATCTTTTGACTCCGAGCGAGGGGGACTAGAGTGAACCTAAGGGCTCGACCCCTCTATCATATCCACTCAATTTCACGTGGAATAACGGATAAAACGTTCCCGAAACATGCTTGAGGGAAAATGAACGAATCATGAAACATACTTGGGTGAGACACCCTAGGTACTGATTATCAAGTAACACAGCGCGTAGTTGTAGCCTATTGCGATCTGACGTTTGACATTTGACATATATCTTGGAATAAATATAGATATAGATATGGATTTGGTAACTGTTTTTCTGTATTTTGAGATGAATGGTGACTTGTATCTCACCGTTTTTGTAGAATGGTTTTGTGATTAATAATGTTGACGATCCATCCAGACGATCATACCATCACGGCGAAGTTTTAACGTCATTACAATATATATAGAACAGAACCACATATTATCATGAAACACGCAATAAAGCAGGTACACGTTACCTGGTACATCAGACGGTCGAGTCTTTTCGTTTTAAGTAGATTTGATATCTATAAGAAACACTTCTCCGTCTTTCTGTTGCTGAATTTTCATTCTTCTAGTAAGACAAGAACGCAACCATGTATTTTCCGATTTCCAGATTGACTATACTTGCTGTCGCGGCTCTTTTTACATCTTCTATTGCAGTTGATATAGAGGTAAATATAAATTGCCATTTACATTCCGAAAATTATTAACAAACTCTCGCTAGGCCAGGCAGACTCCTTCTTCAGATGCAGTTCCAACGTCTACTCCAGCCCCAACACCCACCGCAAAAACTACCCTCAATGCCTCTCAATCCGCATCTCAATCAATGGAAATCCAAGCCGCACTCGCTTCTTATGCCTCCTCTCTTTCTGTAGCCTCAGTATCAGCTGTGGAGGCTGGATCAACGGTAGCTTCGTTACCGGGCTATACACTTGCTGCTTCGGCGGTTGGTCCCGGATCTTCAAATGCTGCAAAAGCCGCTACAGGGAACTCAGGCTCCGGGAGAGGTGTAAAGGTGGATATGGTGTGGGTTAATGTTGGAGTTGGATTGGTGGTTTGTGTGGTGGGGTTGTTGTAAGGGGAATATTTTGTGGAAGGTTGGGGATGAAAGGAGATCTACCAGATCCTCACTGTCAAACATTGAGTAAAGCGTAGAAGGGGTGGAGGCTTTTCAATCATCCTTTGCTATTTCACTTAAGTTGAAGTTCGTGTGGGATGTTCAGATTATTTGGAAGATGAAAAAGTCAAACTATGGCTCAAACATCGAAGATTGTCAGTATGGTCAATGATCATCTGATAATCGAGTTCGGAAGTCGCTCAGCACTAAAAATTGTCGCGTGGGATATACAAGGCCGACGACATGGGACATGGTTGTCGTCACAGTTTTGGCTATGCACGCAAACATCTAATTTGTTGGCAAAAGTATGATGGGTATGGACAAAAGTCGTGTTTTTTTGCCTAATGGCCGGATCAAAGTGAATGCGGGTACATTCATACGGATTGGATGATGAATTTATGAAGTTATACGAATGGGTTGTTGGTAGATCACATAATTTATTGTGAAATGAATAGGATGTTACAGGACAGATGTCATATGTTCATCGCTAAATAGAAAGTCGAGTGAGGCAAGAAGAGAAAGCAAAGTTGCTCTTTCCGCTTCATTCAGAATAGAAATCGAATAAACTAGCTATTGCAAATCTTCCTTCCCCTTCTGTTTCCATATAAACTTGGGTACACATTCGTTTCCTCTCCTAAACTTTCATCTCTCTATCTTACATACCATAAAAACTCATGATCTAATTCTCTTTTGGATTTCCCTTCACTCTTATTTCTAAATACAAAATTCATTGATCCGTCTCATTCGCTTATTTCCAACTCTCCAAATCAGGAGATTTCAAGCCTCGTCTGGATACCATTACCTGTCTTTGACATTCATTTTTGTATCATACGTGTCATAAAATTCTAGATGTATAAAGATATTATTCTTGCTTTTATGATCGGCTTCATTCGTGCATCCATCGTCGTCTATATCCTTTACTGCATTTTCACTCCACTGTATGATTATATTGTTGAAATCACTCGTCGTTTTTGACTGCCATACTTCTCTAACCAGAGGAGTGCAGTCATGTCGATGCCAATTAAAATCTTTTTGGCCGAAAAGTCTTTAGAAAAGGAGCTTCGGTGTATTTATGGCAAATTGATCCAGGATGATGAAGATTTTCGAGCAACCTATCTCTATGTCTTAACTGGACGCGGAGCTTCACCGGCAGATCACCCGGCTGCCTGGAGGCAGCCGAGATTAAGATCAGTGAGCTCTCTCAGTCAGGTAATTTATAACATTCTATCTTCCAATAGCTGTTTGCATTACTCATCGTCGCTTTGTCAGTCAACCTCATCCCACATATTCATAGGCTCATACATCGGTCACAACACTGATCTCATCAATGAGGTTCCATTTACTCCACCTCGTTTTGATCTCATTGATATGAGAACGAATTTACCGATACCCGCAATTAACATGACGAAGTTTCTATACTTTCGCTACCATTATTTGCCCGCCAAAGAACTCAGAGCAACCTCTCCTCCTCGTGTTGGAAAAAGGCCCTACCACCGAGTTTTCGAGAACTACAAAAGATCAATGGAAATGTTTGTGAACGACATCGGAGAACGAACGATAGAACGAGCCCGAGCAATCACATCTATGATTGTGCTGGGAAATATTATGAGCGAAGAGTTTAAACGAAGATGTAGATCGATAGCGAATCACTTCCAATTGGAGACATTCTTCTACAACTCCGTGACCGATGACCAATTGTACTACGTCTTCAGTGATTTTTGGTCAGCTATCGACTTTAGGGCCCTTCAAGTTAGCGATAAGCTTCCAGATTCTCCTAGAGAGGAAGATAAATGGCGTTTTCAATTAAGAAGGTTTACCAAAGTGACGTTTGCTTGTTTAGCACGCGATTACTTCAAATACTGCTTGCAGGTGACAAGGGTAAAGAAGGGTCATAATCGACATGATTCAAAGCAACCGTGCGAACGTGAGGAGAAGGTTAATGAGGAGAAGGCCATTTACGAACGATTGTGCCGGAACCTGAGGGACTATCCTGCTAGAAATGATAAAAATGAAATTGTCAGACATTTACACCGAGAGACTCTTGCGCCTCCCGACAAAGATACACAGCTCATTACAGAGCCACCCGGAATCGAGATACAAGACGGTCACATTCCAGGCACTGGGACGATTTTCTTCGATGTAGAGAAAGAGAGAAAACGCTTTAATACGGGTTTGAAGAAAGTGGCGCACGAGTGGCAGAAACCGCCAGCGTTGGTGCTTTTAAAGGACGCTCTGAATTTCCATGCTACGCGGGATTTTCTCGTTGACTGCAATCCACCTATGTAATCATATTCACAAGGATGAAAATTAGCAGCTCTGAAAGCCACAGCCTTAAAAGCAGGAAATAGTTTATATAGAACTGCCAGGAATTATAGACCATAGCGAGAGAGCATATTGTTTGTCTCTCATTAGCAAAGTATATAAAGCATTTTTGACTGATCTTTTGAAGCGAGCCTCAACTCTCCATCGATGGTTATGTTCTAGAGACTAGATGATTGAGCAGGGCGGCAGAATCATTGTTGACTATCTAGGTACTCTGGAGGCATTGAAATTATTATGAGGCGTGATGAATGAAGATGATAGCCCCATATAAACACCTAGATAGCCAATCATTAATGGATTAATTAGACTTGCTTACTATTTTCCCCTTTTAGCTCGCCGCAGTACGACCAATGCAGAGGTTAACCAATAGGAGCTCATATCTCGCCTGGGCTGGAATCTATTGTGGGTCAACGCGGCGCATGGCTCATGACAATGGAGGGCCTCCAAATTTGAATGGGATACAAAACTACCTTGTCTGTCAGACCTCATTCCATAAAACTTTCTCTTCATTTTCGTGTTCACCTAACTTATCTCCCCTTTACTGTCGCTTGAAACGTCTAAAGCAAAACCAAAGATTTTGGCCTTGCTGCCCCCATACTTATTTCCCTTCCAAGTTAATCACATCGTGAGTTTTACATTGTTCCTCAAGAATTAAAGATGCCTTAAATGGTTACCTTGAATAGTTTTATGTATCCTAACTCCTCGCAGTACTATTGATATGGAAGGCTTTAGCCCAGGAGTTTTTGGTTATAAACCAGCTCCATCCATCCGGCCTGACTTTGATGAAGGTGACGCGCTTACTTGGGTCCTAGGACTGAGTAGCGCCTTTTCTTCATTCGCAAAGAATCCAATGGTTCATGTCGAGGGCATCAAGATGGCAAAGTTCGATTTGGACAGCGCTGTCTTCACTTCAGAGCGGATGATTCGTCTACCAGATGATGACGTTCAAAGCCTTTGCATTAACTGTTTTCCCGATTGGAGCGCGCGGGGGGATACCGCTTTATAACTTCTCCAACTTCTTCGATAGCCGCGGGCACTGTCATATCAATATGTAGCTCCCAGAGCTATCATTTCCCGACTATTCTTTTATTCGCTAAATTTCCTTTTACGGTCCTGGTTTTATGTTTCAGTACTTTCTCTTCGACCCCGGGAGCCTTGCTCTCCGACAGATTGTCGCCTAAAGGTGGTACACCGTCGACTTCCTCGAAAGAAACCAACGACTTTTTATTTCATTCACCACATTTTGTTTTTGTTTTCACCGGAATTCATACCTCGAAGCGAGTGTATCAGCATCTAATACTCCTCGGTGATTTTAAACGAGTCACCTGGGAGTATCGAACTTGTCGATGTCACAGGAATGATCAATGTCATAGCCATTATCATCCTCAGTTTTCGCAATCAACCTTGCGCTTTGGCCGCGAGTTACTGCAAAGATTTGACATCCTCATTATGGACGGGTTTGACAACAATTCGATGGTTCTTTTGGACATGACCGATGTACGTCTTAAAACTGCATATTTGACCGATAAACTCATTTCAAAATCGCTTGCTCCGTCTGCACATCTTTTAAAAGGCCGACAAGCTGTCCAAAACGAACAAAGTACAACCATCGACAGAGACCCCCATATTACCAATCATGGATGACACAGAGAGCAGCTCAAACTCGCCGTCTTGGCCTCAAAATGCCGACCGAATTCCATACGCCTACACTGAATTCGCATGGGGGGCTGACATAGACATAAACGCTATTGGTTTGGAGTGGAATCAAGACTGGCTGGATGGGACTTCATTAAACTCCGAGTCATCGCAGACCACTTCCAATGCTAATGGAGATAACTTACAATACCCATCAGAGACTAACTTTGGTGGAGAATGCTATAATAGTGGCGTTTATGCTGCGAACGAGCTAGGAGTGCTGTCTGTACCAAACTGGAACAATTCGAATGGGACATTGGACTTAGCAAATTTGGACGATCTCGATAACCTCTTATCCATATCACCTATGGATATGGACGAAATTATTACAAATTCACTGTCATCAATCGATTATTCCATTGGTCCAATTCTTCAGATCACCAGTACCGAACTTCTCGCCAACGATATTCATTGCGATCCATTCTCAGAGACTTCCAACCACTCGGAGGCCCAACAAGCTTATGAGTCTTATCCCATCGACTGGGCCACTAACCCACCGATACTAGACAATACTGTCTGGGATCCAATGCAATCTTCGCTATATATAAGTTCGTCCACTGGAGTTCACCTCCCCTCAATATCTTCCACCACACTATCTCCTATTTCAAGCAACTCTGAAATCATGTCATCCCCCACACAATATTCCAACACCAACACTTCCATCTCAACATCTCGAACCAACTCCAACTCAACTACACCCTCAAGTGATCGCTCCACATCCAATTCACCACCAAGTACCCAGAATGAATACACGTGCATAATTTGCTCCAAAATATTTTCTAAGCGATTCGAATTCAAGTATGTCCTTTCATCTATATTCTCACTCCAGATCTTCCATCTCCATTCCTCTCCGCTCCAAATACTCACTAACTACTCCTCCAGTAAACACAAACCCCTCCACACCCTTCCTCATGCCTGCACACTCTGTCCGCACCGCACAGCCCGACGCAGAGATATGACGCGCCACATCGCAGCCAAGCACAAGGACGTCGGTTCCTCGGGCTCTGAGTCGGTGTCAAAACCTATTTGTCCTATGGAGGATTGCAAAAAGGGGTTTGCGAGATCGGATCATTTGCTTAGACACTTGAGGAGAAAGCATCCTGGATATGAGTTGAGATCTTGAGGTTTCCGTTTCTTTTTTGTTCGTTTACTGAGGTATGATTTAGCATGGCGTTAAAAAATATCTTTGGGTGCAAGTAAACAAAGGGATAAAAGGAAACAAATTATATTATTTAAAAACCTAAAAGCTTAGCTGCATGAATTGATGTCACTAGTCACTCGTCGCATGCATGTGCCACACCTCTACCGAGCCGCGAGCCGCAATCCTCAAACACTTAAGAGAATAAAACATTACTCATATTCATATGAAGTCGTAATTAAAAAACAGCTATCTAATATTACACATTTAAATCCCCAGCATAACCCCCAACCCCAGCGCAGCGGGCACCGCAAAATTTGTAATTTGCGCCTGAAATCTATCCGCCCCCCCTTTACTCGTACTCGTTGCTGTCGGACTCGCCGTCCTACTACTACTCACCCCTATACTCATATCAATATCCTTCATCTGCAACTCCACCGGCTCGCTCGCATGAACCGTCTCGGATCCAAATTGTATCAGTCCGAGATACATATCATTCGTAATATTTCCAATCGAGACCAATTCTTTGACAAGCTCAAAAACATCCGCATTGATCGATTCCTGATATACAGTTGGAACCCACGAAAACACGGCTTGTTTTTGTCCTTGCTGATTGCGTCCGGTGAATAATTGATAAGTGATGCCAGATAGATTGTACTCCGGAGCGCCGGTAGGAGGATCGTAGTATCCGATTGGCCAGACGCCGCCCCAAACGGATTGCCAGACCATGACTTCGTGTGTGGCTAGGGATGCGTTGGTTGAGGAGACGTTATTCGCGTCGAGGAACATGTCGAGGGCAATGTCGGCTTTGCAGGCGATGGCACTGAGGGCAGTGGTCATATTTGAAGCGGTGGGTGAGGCGACGGGGAAGACGGACCAGCTGCCGCTGAGGTGGAAGGAGTCGACGTTGCTCACTGTCGTGGGGAGTTGGATGGATTGGTAGCCGACGTTGGGATAGGCGTGGACCTGAGGAAAGTTAGGGTTGAAGTTCTCAGAGTGGCGATGAGCTTAGATGGGATGGGAACATACATATTCGATATTCTTTTCCCACATCCAGGTCGCATTAAAACTTGCGCCATTGTCATCTGCCAAAAGAACCTATGAGAAGCCAAAATTAATCTCAAATTCCCGCAACATTCAATCGCAAACTTCGGATTGGAGATCCAAAACATACAGTCATATTCTGACTTCCACTCCCATCATCCCCCCATTTATTCGACCCATACAAATAAGCCCCGGAATCCGTCAACGCACCACCATACTGTTCATTCAAATCCTGATACTTCGATGACTTCGCACTTGCATTCCTCGACTGTAACGACAAACACCAAAACCACAGTCCCCATAAGGGAATACTCTGACGTTTGAACATGTGAAAAGAATAAAGGGTTACAAGTTGTGGAGTTTTACGGGGGGGGAACTGCATATCAAATGTATTTATTCCAAAAGCCCAACCTCGTGAGATCCATATTTTCAGGTGGATCGATACGAGGTTGTTCGACCGTACACGCAATTTTGTTTGCTATGGCCAACATCATCTTCCTTGAAAATATCGATATCCGAAATTGAAGGTGGGCCATAAGCATCAAGGGTCGTGTTTAGGAATTCTGAAAAAAAAAAGCCAAGTTGAGGATCATTTCTCCATGATGTCCTGTCATGCATTTAAGCTTCGTTTACGAGCCAAGAGAATCAATACATAAGAAGAAGAATCTTCGAAATAAGATTCTTTGAATACCCGTTGGATTGAGGGTTTTCTCTTCTAGGATAGTCAAGCTCTTAATATCTACGAAGTACTTCGTGTTGATGTCGATCGATGTAAAAATAGATTTCAAACTACAATGGTTGAGGGGGTAAGTAATGTAAAACGCACCTAAATGTGTCCTCATTTTAGGCCTTTGAACAAATCAAATCACATTATTGATTGAAAACTTATATGGTAAAATCTATCTGGTGGAAGTTTTGTAAAAGTTATATTTTATCCAAAATCTTTACACTTTTTTTTCAACATTATTACTTTTAATTGGAATTTGAATTCGAATCTCTATTATCCTCTAAATTATTAGTTACGGTTAGGAAATGTGGTCCGTGCGAGAATAAGAATTATTTAGCTTGAATTTAAGGTTAAAAATTATTAAAATAGTAACAATCGAAAGGTAAATTATAGATTTATATATTTTATTTTTGAGAAAAATTATTAAATGTTTTTAAACCCTATTAAATTTCATTTTCAAAACAAATATAATTTATGATTTCAAAACAAATATAATTTATGATTTCAAAACCTCTCAGATCATATTACTTTGATTCGCTGATAAAGCATTGTAAGCGGACCCGGCCGTCACTAGCGGCTTAGAGGATAAGTCTAATTAGAATCTATAAAAAGCTTTAAAAACTTTAAATGTTATGAAATTCTTAAAGTTAATAAAAAGCAAGTAAAAGCTTCAATTAATGAATTTTGAAAAGGAATAGTTTATTATCTATTCAATTCGTTTAAAGCAATAATAAATTCTATAAATATGAAAAGCTTTTAGTAAGAGTAAGATTTATATCGCTTGCTCATATAGTCTTTGTAGTACAAAGTATTGCCCTGAGAACTTCGGATGCTCGGGACTCAACGGTCACTAATGTATTTATTGATAAACCCGTTTGGTCCCACCTTTTGCTCAGGAGTAAAGTCGGTAGAAGTCGTTCGCACGAGAGACAGGAAAGATTTGTCTTGGGCACGTGCACGGATTTGTGAGACGTGAATTTGAAGATAACTTTTGCATCATTGCTTCAAAAGCTTCAAACCTTTATAGAAGTACTCGTTATGAATCAAGTGATCGGATTTGGGGTTTTATCGAAATCAAACGATATTAGGATTTAATTTTCTCACTTTGATGAAGTCTTACGAATCCGTACACCCATTGTTGGTGCTCTAGTATTTGAATCGATAGATTGCGTGAATATAACTCCAAGACTTTATACTAAAGGAGAAGCAGAAAATCGACTGTATTTCTAAGCATGGCATGCATGTTGTCTATTTTTCAAAAAATTCCGTACAACCGGGGAGTTTGATCCATCATTGTTTCTCGAAATCTTAAGACGACCAACTACCTGTCCGCTAGCTGATCTTCATCCCTCATTCTATATTATACCAGTGTGTCTGGAAGAGTTTCGATTCCCAACCTACAACCGAGTCGCAGATAATCAGAGATTTCGTCCATAGCATTCATGAATAGTGCTTAGCTGCGGCTGCTGAATCGAACGGCTTACTCTCCAAGCTTTGAGGTAGATTGGCTTGATTTGGGACGGAAAGCAAGGTCTTGAGATGTTGATAATGGGGGAAGTTGACCAGAATCTGAGATGTCAGATTCATCGCCGTTGAATAAACCCTTGTCAAGAGATTCGTTGGTGCAATATTCGCTATATTGATATCCTGTCCAAGAGCCATCGTCACCTTGCCCAAGCAATAAATCGACGATATCAGAACGACCAATAATACCGGCGAGATCCTCTGCAGTATGCCCGTAATCGTCTTTTGGGGAAGTATCGGCACCAGCAGAAAGCAGTGCCCACACAGCTTCTTCATTCCCTAGACAGCAGGCCAGATGCAAGTAGGTCTGCCTGTGGCTGAGATGAGCTTCTATATTTGCGCCCGAGATAAGTAAAGCAAACATGGCACGCAAATTCTTAGATCGAATGGCGATGGCAAGTGGTGTGAAATCCTGGTGATTACGGATTTCTAAGTCGGGATGATGTGCTAACAATAATTGTAGCCTCCCAAAATCTGCTGGGTCGTGGCTGTCTGATAGTAAATGTAGATCCGAATGTTTCTTTCCATCTATGGCTGAAGGCCCATGTCTTTCTTCCAGAGGTCTATTCGAGGGTTCATTTTCAGTCTTGGCCACTGAAGTCGCACGTTCCGATTGTTTCACAACGTATAAGCCATCATCTTGATTTTCTACAACCGGTAAAGAGCTATGGATGTCTTTTGGGGTGGAAGATGTGTTTTTTTCAATCACGCTTACGATCGATGGGCCGTTATCGCCATATCCTTTCTCTTTGATCTAGATGCCAGCTTCGTGTTCAGCCTCTCCAAACGATCCGACATCGCTGCTTCCTTCATCGCTACTCCATTCATCAAACACCGAAATAAAATCTATCTGTGTCTCAACTCCGAAGTGCTGCCTGAATAGCCACTTCATGTAACCCGCAGTAAAATGACGAGCCGAAAAATTCTGCAGAAGTTTCTCGTGTTTGTCTTCTTCCTTGGCCAAGCGGCCAAAGATATAAGCCATCTTACTGGGTGAGTGTGCTGCCGCATGAAGTAACTTTCTAGGTAGGCCAAAGATGTTGTTACACGCGGTTAAAATGTCACCCAGCTGCCATAATTCATCGAAGCTCGACATTTTGTAATCTCGGCGACGTATCAGTAACTATATCGGCGTGATGCTTAAGTCATTCCAGACAGTCAGACTTGCTCCATGTTGCAAAAGGGCTTTCTGAGATTACCGTCAACGCCGGTCCATCAGCAAAGGCTGCTTGAAGTTGAAGAATTGTGTGAATAATGGTGTCCCCTTCTTCATTTTGCCAGTTGAAATCTAACACAATGTTGTCGTTCATCAATCTATTGATCTAAAAAATGTATTGGCTTATTTGGGGCACACCACATAATGGTACCTCTGAGAACATCCTTTCCAGCGAGTTTGGCGAATTCATTCTGGAAATTCGAAAAAAATCCAATGCTAAATTGCGGAGTTGAGTCACACAATCCCCGGAATGCGCCGGTAAAATAGGATGCGTACCTATCCCGTGATGCCGTGATATTCCAAGAAATTTAATATCGAGAAAAGGTTCAAGAATCGACGGCGGGTAATTCGAGATCGCTAAACAATCATAAACAATAGCGAAAAATAATGGGAATGTATCCGTTGCGAAATGTGCGAAATTTGTTCGTGCCCCCCATGCTAGTAATTCGACGAATAGGCTAGCATTATTATAATGTATTCCTCTTTCTGGATAATAGCCAATCATGTTTCTTTCTCTGAAAATGCCTCGAAGAAATGCAAACAGACTCTCAACGGAAAAGGTCGGATTCTTGTCAAATATGACTTGGAATAGATCAGCATCCGACTCGCCATGACACTCTGCGAATGTAGATGAGTGTCGAAAGAGGAGTTTTATGACATCGATATTGTCGAGAGCTGCACCGGCCATGATCAAATGTTTAATAACCTTCTTCCTTGAATCCCATTTCCAGTGTTCATGATATACAAGGTCATGGTCACATAACAGCTGTGCGTCCTCATATATTGCGTTATTGCACAGTATCGCACACTCAAGTGGATTGCCAAAAACGCTTGGGGCATTTAAATCAGCTCCACGATCGATGAGAGAGTTGCAAATATCAGGCAAAGCCACCATAGCAGCCCAGTGAAGGGCAGAAGGTCTTGATGACCCTATCACGCAATTCAGGTGATCTGCTGGTAGAAAATCATCGAAATTTAACAATCCAGTGCACTTGCAAGAACCTGACATTGTATAATGATAGTAGCCAAATGTCCACAGTCTGTAACTGCTTCTCGTTTCATCAAAAAGAAGTATGACTTCATTTGAAATTTCACTCCATGAACTTCGATGAACATGCACAGACCAGAATTCAAGAACATATTTCATGAACGAGTAGTTGTCTTCGAATTCCTTCCAGAATTTATTGAAATCTGTCAACTCCTGCTTGAAACCCGTCACTGGCAGTGGCAAACCATCGAATTCCGAAAGACTTAAGAAGTCACAACATATTCTCACAATCTCAGCATGATCCCCTGAAAGTCTGTACTGTGAAATACCTGGACCACATTCTTCGGAAAGGCTCAAGAGGTATTCTTTCACTGTGAAGTGTGCAAGTTCGAGCTCATCCGATTGAGACTTTTGGCGAATGAGACTACTACACCAGTTAAGGAGTTCGTCCAATGTAGTCATATTTTCCCTCTCGAAAGTCTCATCACCAGGTCTTACTGCAAGTGCTTGGAGCAGTTGTGTTATCATTAGCGGCCTTTGGGCGTATACCACCCAAAGAAGTGTATGCCTGACAAGGGTTTGATTCTCTTTACTGCTTCGATTGACCCTGTCAAGAATACGTTCATATGATTTGGGCAGATCTGGGGGTAATTTGCGTAAGGCTTCACGACGATCTCTATCCGTACTGCATTCGCAAAGGTAGTCCATCTGACATGCAACCCACCAAAACCTAGATCTACTCAGCTTCACGTGTAGGATACATGGAGTATGAAACATACATGCCATCAGCGCCCTCTGTAAGCACTTTGACAATGTGGTCCTTTAGGTTATGATCTTTAATACGGAGCTTGCCGACTTTCGTTCGCTTCTCTATCTCAGAATGCACATAAAGTCGCAAGTCACCACTTTTTGCCGCAATGGAAACACGGGGATAATCTTCCAATACAATTCGAATATCCACCTCATTGCGACTCGCCAGGAGGGTTTTGATCGTTTCTGATGGCCTGTCCAATGATTCAAGAAGTCTTGTGACCTCTGCGCGATCTTCAGCCATCTCATCCAGACCATCTACTACGATACTAGTAGTGGTGAAATTTCTTGATAATTCAACGATAAATTCGCAAAAATCGTCAGTAGTGGCTGAGCCTTGAGTGTTTTCCGTCATATGGTGCTTCTCACAGAAAGCTTCCAGTTGCGTAAAAGCATGTTCATGCTGAAGAATCAGTTGTCGCGCCAAAGACCCCAGAATGGTCCGCGGATCGTGAGTCTGAGTATCCTTATAATCACAATAGAACATTGCAGTTCCTTTTCCAGAGTGTCAGTCCAAGTCCTTATCTCGGAATATGTGTCTGCATACCATGAGATGGATCCTGGCTTTGTTCAATCTCTTTTATAACAGATGCCCTATTCGCAATTCAATACTAATTTCTTTTGAATCAAATTTTGACATAAACATAGATACGCGACTTACATCAGAATTGTTTTCCCGGCTCCGGCTACGATTGTCAGAACTCATCTGAGACATTGAAGGCTAGATTGTGAACAAACGTATTCCATAGATCCATAACTTTGAATTGTCTGTAGATGCCCAATCCTCGAATTCCTTGCTCTCGGTGAACCAGACGCCTGTTCCAGGTTGTCTCAATCTAACATTCGAATTTTGCCATTTCATGACATCGATGGTACCTAAAAGATTGAGCTTCTCCCTTAGACTCTCATCTTCATCATAGTCAGCATAGATGCAAGCAGGTTCCACTGGACCAACAACTCACCCGTAGTCAACCTGCGCCATTCTACTCGAGCATCCTCCATACTGGAATTTGTGTCAGCAACGGTCTTCTTAAGTTGTTCTTGGTTGGCAAGTATCTCAATCAAGGTTGACCTGCTGAAGTTAGTTGAGCAAAAGGCGACAATGGGGCTGATATGTGTCACATTTGTTGAGTATTTAAGGCCATGATCATCGTAGATTTGTGATTCTGTATCTCTCTCAACAACTCTGAAACCACTGCTTTCTTGAATGGCCACTTGAGCTTCTGAGATGTTGACTTTACTTCTGGTATAGCTTTCTCGAGTTGGTCTGTGATTTTCTCTAGGGTTATTTGACAAGAATATAGATGTTGTATCTTGCTGGAGCTATGCACCGAAGTATCTTGCGCTTCCAGTGCCTGTGCCACATTATCGAGACTATGAAGTACACCAGAAAGGTTGTTGACTTCTTCAACAAGGCTACGAACAGATTTCTCGGCATCTTTGACATCTTTGATGTATTTGTAGCCCAGTCGAACAACAGTATCAGCCAGTGATACCAAACCAGCAATACTCGAGGCGACACCAAGAGCCTCAGCCATCTTAAGACTTCTTGGTCGGTCCTTTGGGAAATTGAGAGTATGAATTTTAATATTTCAAAAACAAGTTTGGGGACAATGATACACAGCGACACTAAAAAGGCATCGAAAGCTGCATCATATATTGAGCATATTGCTCAACACGCCGAGTCGTCAATGTTCTTATAGAACCAATTTATGGCAGACGTCTTTGCGAATGTGCTTCGCCTCATAATAATGGTTTGATACTTTCCTCTTTAGTATTTTATTGCATAATATAGCCTTGCTGTGCATGATATCGTGTGAGAGTTGGGAGTGACCAAGAAACGATTGAGCCGAAAGATTGGAAAGTTCAGTGTGTGGGAGCTGTGCAAAAAGGAAGAGCAATAATAAATGATTTGACAAGTCAGCATAGCATCCTAGAGACGATAAGGCACCTAGTTGAGCATGGGGATTACAAAAAATAGCCTTGCTTACTGCTTATCAGTCTATACAGAAAGATGTAATATACTTTGTCGTAATCCCATGCTAAAGATTACCACCACGCAGACACATCCATAATATAGATGACAAGAGACTTATTTTGAAGTACAGCTCAACGTTGAAAAAAGATATCCATTCATTATTCATAATATCAGCAATCGTGTGTATCTCTCCTTCCCATTTCCCAAACACCAGTAAAAGTCCAAATCCACGTAAGCAATCTCTCATCCCCATATGGTATTCCAAAATCCTCCCTAGCATCTCAGAAAGAAGTCGTTCACCGCCCTTCATCGATTCCCATAATCTCAACTCTCTCCCAGCACCTCACATAACGGTGCAAGGAATAGGAATGCAACAGCATTCATATCCATCACACTCCAGACACTTTGTCTTTCCAGTGGTACTGGTACCCTTCACGATATCGGAGATGGTGGATGAGGCTGCAGAGCCAGGACCGTTGCGGTTGACGAGGCCGGTGGAGGTTGAGGTGCACATTTTGAGTTGTTTTATTTGACTTGGATTGAGGATGAGGTTGAGTTTGTGTGGTTTTGGGGTCTGCAGTGGGAATGTTTGTCAGTTTTGTGCCTGATTATTTATGATGACGATACAAGCTTGATAAGGGGAATGTCTTGGATTGTGACGGCTGTGGCGTCATATGTGGTACCAGCTAGCATCATATCATAGCTGTAAGAAATTCGGGGGAGTATCATAACTTACATCAACGTTGTGATTGATAGTTGTAGACAAGATTTCTGAATGGGGTTGGAATCTTTGAATGTGTTTCTGTGCTTGGGAAGAAAGGGCCAAGGAGGGAAGTGAATGATCTGATATATAATTCTAGACGTGGCTTGACACAAAGAAAGTCAATTGTTAGGCATGAATCTTGGAAGCTTGGAACTCGCCTAGCAATTGGCTCATCGTCATTTTGGACGATGTAATAGTGGAGGCGCAATTAGCGGATAATCATTATGACTTTCTTGCAGAGAATGGAACCTTGGTTAAGTTTCGGGTTTCAAGGGTGTCGTTTATCAATTTTATTTACTATGTGGCATTAAAAACATCCTGTCCGACTCGATCTCAAAAGCTGCCAAGTGGCTGTAGATTCCCACCTCCGTGCTGGTCTGCCTTCTTTTGGGGATGAACAGTGGAGCTTGGGTTCGACCAGGATAGCAAGCCGTCTAACATTTGAGATCAACTCGTCTGTACCAGAAACGGTTATAGCCCGTGAGGCTGTGGTGGCTAAGCCTTACCATTGTAGAATTTATATGCGGTTTTTCAGATGATATTTCGAGAGGGAATTCACAACGCCTCAGTAGACGCGTCTCGTCCGAAAATCCCTTATCGGAATATGGCAGCGACACCTAGATGCATGGCACTAGCGGATGGCTGTGTTCTATCCCGGGCTTCTCGAATCATCTGGACAATATTCTTTCAACCAAATTCCAGGTCCAATTGCTCCCAAATATCTTTTCCTTCGTCCTCTATTACATTCTCATGTTCTCGACTACTGGCATTTGCCTCATCTCCTAGTTTGATCTCGATAAACCCTTCTAGCATCCCTTCGACCTTCTCCTTCATTTTCATGATGCCCTCAGTCTCCGCCCTGGATTTGTCTAATTGGTCCTGCATCATTGCAATCAATGATTCTCGCGCTTGATATGGTCGATATTCGTTCAGCAGATGATGGAAATTGGCGAATATAGTATGCAAATCCCCGATCTTTTCGTGGCTCTATAGATGTCTCAATCAGCATAGTTTTTGGCGAGAGAGAAATGGCTCTCATACCTGTTCTGGATGGATACTCATTGTACCAACCAATTCTAAAAAATTCAACAGCAACGACTTTGCGAATCGTTTTAGAATTAACTTGCGATCCTCATGCTTCCCGGTTCCTGTTGGCGTGGTAGGTGGTGTATATATTTGTTCAATGCCCTCTTCAAGAGGAGGAAGTTCATTTTTAATCTGACATAAGATATTAGTACTTCTCATCCTCAATTTGACAGATCAATGTTCAGTAGCGCGTTCAACATACTTGTCGCATTTGTCCAAAGGTTCTGTAGAGTCCAGTCGCTGGTGGTTCTGGGGGTTGCAGAAATCGTAACTCGACGGGAACATCATGAATACGAGGAGGAAGCTTATAAGATAAACTGTCGGCGACCTTGTAGTTTGGAAAGTTCTCCGCACGTAGCTTCTCTATCCGTTCAAGATTATCGGTAGTAAATTGCTTCCAAAATAATGGTGGACCGGGGGAAACCTGTGCTATTAAGTTTGGCTGCTGCTGCTGTTGTTCCGCCATGATTGATTTTGGCAAGGATTATCTTTCATGGAATTGAGATAATTGACGAAACGTGTGATAAGTCAAGCTCTCCCAATGTTGGGGAGTTGTCGAAAGTTGAATACTTTTGTTTTAACAAACAATGGTAGATGGACTTGGTAGACAATCATTGATTAGATAGTAGCTTACAACCGAAGATCCCCCCGTGCCAGACAAGGCTGAGGAAAGTGGGTCGCGTGCCTTTCAAGGTACATCTTCTCACGAACTGCCCAGTTCATAACACGAAACCAAACGTTCTGGCACAATCTGTGAATTTTTTGATATATACTCCTTCAATGAGAAGAACCTGACTTTTACCGCTGCGCTGCGTCGCAAGAATGTCTCGAATCGGACGGAATAATGGAGGATTGACTTCAAAACCCGGTTGGATTGGTGCAGTAGCACGTTTCTGGGAGGTAAAGCCATTCAAACACATTATTTCATTTGTATTTTCACTCTCCTAATACTTCTATTCTAGAAAAGTTATGCGCCAGATTATGTTGGCTTTGTATTGCTATTGACGGCATATATTTTGGTAATTCCCCTGGTCCATTTTCCCCTTCTTATATACGTACAAGTTCTAATCAACCCCCTTCATTCAGATCGAATTTCTTCAAGAGCCATTTCACCGCATGTTTTTCATAAACAACATCAATATTCAATACCCACATGCTTTGGTGGAGAGAGTACCCGTTGGATGGAATTTGATATATGCAGGACTTATTCCATGCATAACCTTGGCCGTTTGGCTTGGAATTTCGAGAGCGAACCTCCACAAATCCCATGTCACTATGTTGGGCTTCTTTATAGGACTGGTTCTCACATCTTTTATTACTGATGTTATCAAAAATGCTGTTGGGAGACCTCGTCCCGATCTTATCTCTCGCTGCAAGCCTACGCCTGAAACACCAGAAAATAAGTTGGTAACCATTCATGTATGCTCGGAAAAAGATCACCATACATTGCATGATGGATGGAGAAGTTTTCCTTCTGGTCATTCTTCCTTTGCATTTGCTGGACTTGGATATCTCGCATTTTTCTTTGCTGGACAAACACATGTGTTCAGACCTAGAACTGATCTCGGGAGGGTACTCTTAGCCCTCGCCCCATTGCTTGGAGCTGCCATGATTGCGATTAGTCGATGCGAAGATTACCGGTAAGTTGCGCTTTCATTAATTTTCGATGACATTAACTAACGATATTATAGTCATGATGTGTATGATGTAACATGTGGATCTATCCTTGGCATTTCTCTAGCATATTTCTCATATAGAAGGTATTTTCCAAGGCTGCATTCCTCGAAATGTCATGAGCCTTACCCGTCACGAGAAGCTGCATTCAACCAAGGCTTTGGAAAGATAAAAAACGATGAAGAAACGGAAGTGGGTAGGGCTAGAGAGTTTGATGTATCTGACAACGAGAGTGATGCATCCTAAATTTTTCAAAAAAAAAAAAAAAAAAAAAAAAAAAAGTGGTAGTATCAGCCCATTGTATAGGTCAAGCCTCGTTTTCATGTTCTTGAGTCTCCCAGTCACTTTAAATTCATTTACAATTTTACCGCATTTGGGGAAAATGACTTGCTTCAGCTCTCTTTGTGTGTTTGAAACAATTTTTGGAGAAACCTCGTGGAAGTCTTTGTGACCATAATGACAGTATTTGTCCTTTGTTTTATAACTGTTAACTTCACTGCAAATCACTTGGTGCTTTGCGATATCTGTTCAACTTCAATTTCATATCACTTATACTATCCTTGTCTTTGATACATCATTTCTTCTGACACCTAGACTTCGGGGGAAGTATCATTTCTTTTAACTCGTAGTAATGAAACAAAAATCGGGCGCCAAGGATTTTGGTTTCTATTGTGTTGATATCCTCCTTGTGCCCGGTTCTGAGCTTAGAGCAATATGGCCGACGCACTTCCTCCCGTCAGGCAGGGTCGGCTGGTACATCTAGCTGAACTGTTAAAATTTGGGCGAATTGAGGTCAAAGGTGCTTCTCAGTGGCTGCAAAAGCATTTTCTGCTGCTATTAGCTCTTGGAGCATCCACAGTATATCGAACATGGCCCACTACGCCACTGACTGGCTTGTTGCGGTGGGTAGGCGGAATATATTTTTATTATCAAGCCTACTGGCTGGTGAACATTTACACGTTCAAAGATATACATAAATGTAGCTCAATTTTGGAAAACGTAAAAGGTTGGGAACCGGGGTATGATTTTTGGGAGATGCGTAACGATCAATGGTGGCTTTATATGTCTTGTCTAGGAAATGACGCTGGCTGGTCGAAGAGATTGTGGGATAATGTGGTAAGTAGCCCCGACACTGACTTGCCTGTCGATACTAAATGTCAAAGGACGCGATTTACGAATCGATTAATAGACTGTCTGATATTCTCATGCCGGATTGGCATACGGACCAACGGGTGTTATTATATACACTTGTTAGTAGATGATCACTTTCCCGATAGTCATACCAACATTGTCTAACATGGTGTCTACAGCCAATGAATGTAATTTCTGTGGGCTTGTATCGACTAATCGTATGTGATGATATTCACCCTTCCTTCTTCTTACTCAAACTTATAATATTGTAAAGGTTAGAAAACAATTGCCTGAGTGGATGTGGTATCCAATGGTTCTTGCGTCAAGCGCATTCATAAACAACCTGCTTCACGGAGCCCTCATTGTATATTTTGGCCACATTGCACCCGGCCTTGTTGAGTTGGCTATTTGGCGTGTGGTTGAATTTGGCGTCCCGGCTTTCCTAATATTTTATAGACAAGAATGGATACCTTTACGTGTTGCATCAATGATCTTCGAACGTCAGAGAAGGTTGGCTGCTGCTGGACGTGATTGGGACAACGTTCAGAATCAGCAAGATCAAGAAGAGTTGGATCTTATTCGGTGGTGGAGAGGAGGTTTATTCCGTCGTGCTCGTCTCGAAATTGCTAAAATGATTGTTCGATGTTCGATTATATCAAATCTGCTTTTGGATGCGTGTCGGTCTCTTTGGATCTTTCGAGAAACTCGACGGGGTTTGAGGAACCGAGTCGCAAATCTTACACAGCAAATAACCGTCATTGAACAGCGATTAAATAACGCTATAGAGGGCCGAAATGGTTGGAGGAGAAGGTTTCTGCAAATGCTGAGGTTGCGAAATGGATGCATAGAACATCATCACCATTTTGAAGTTCAAGGTGAGAAACAGGCAGCATATGATGAACTGTTGGCAAAATTCAACGCACAACGTCAAGCTTCAAGTGCCTTGATATTAGCGGGAGGTCCAGCTAGAGCGACAGAAAAGTTGCTTGGCGTGGCTGTTCACACAAGAGATTTGCACCGTAAACAGATACAAACTCTTGTTTCTTCGTTCGTAGAAGCTGGTGCTGAGATGGTCATACTCAAAAATAAGGTCAAAACGTTAGAAGAGGATCTCAAAACCGTCAACGATGGTAGGGCAACAATGTTGTGGCGAGAGACGGCGCAAGAAAATCTTGAATTGAGGAGGCAGGCACAGGAAGAGATTTTGGAACGAGATGTGACAATCAAGCGTTTGAGAGACGATCGAGATGAAAGTGCTGTAACATCACTTAGTTTGGATTCTAGAGGACAACAAATCTTACGAAAACTGCAAGAGAGGTTGATAAGTGCGGAGAACAACCTCGCCCATTCCGAAATGATAGTGGAGAAAATGAAGTTTGATGAAGTCAGGCATGAAGAAGAGATGAAACAGATCAAGAGGGATGCATTATATGGGGAGTCTGCGCGGCTGGGGGAGTTGTACACAGATGCAATCATCGAAGCTAATGAGTTGACGGAAGAGCTCAAGAAGTTTGAATTTTCTACAGATCCGGAACATGATATTGAGGCGGTTCAACGTCAATGTGACGAAGAAAAGGAAAACTTGAACCGCGAGATTGCGAGCAAGGACGTGCAAATAGCTACGTTCAAGGCACAAATTGACCACGCGATGGGCTCTATGAATTGGGCTGATAATAGATTCGAGCCTCTGGACAAGTATTTTGGTTTTATCCCTGGCGCAAAAAAGGAAATCAGACGCATGTCGATAGCACTTGAGAAGGTTCATTTCCAGAATATAGTACCTCAAGAACCTCAAATGGTAGATCAAATGCGTTACTTGGAGAATTTGACTACTGAAAAGAATCTGTTAATAGATGAGAGACAAAGTTTGCGAGTGATTCTAGCCGAGCTCTTGCAGAATAAAACTCAGAGTGAAACGGAACTGGCCAGATTAAGAGATCGGGTGGCTCGGAGGAACACACAAGTGACTAATCTAGAGACACGAAATATGGAACTGCAGGTTCAACTCAGAGAAGCACAAGTGGCAGAACCAACACTAGTGGAAGCTCTGAATGTTGCGGAAATAGCGACTCCCATTATAGGAATTTATGCAAGGAACCTTCTAGCCTTAAATAGAGAAATGCAAGAAAGGGGTAGAGAGATGCCAGACATGCCAGATATTCCGGAAGACAATGGTATTTCACGTGTAGAAGGAGAGCCTATAGAAATTTCTGTATTGAGACTTTGCAACCAGGTAAAAGTCAGGTTTGACGATTTATCAAGGTTGGTAAGAGAGAGTGACCCTCCATGGCCAGGAGCGACAAATGACTGGGTGGACGATGATACGGACAGTCCGGAGAATTTGAGTGCGCGTAAGCTCAATCGGATATTAAAATTGAAAGACCTTTGGGATTTTATCGGAACGTTACATTATGACACTGTTCTTTTCGTCCGCGAGATCTGCCAAAAATTCGGCGTAGAACCTGGCGTTGAACTACCCGAGAGACCCCAGTCTCCATCGCCTCTACCTTCCCCAACTCCATCTCCGCCACCTCCTCGTTTTAGGGATAGAGATCTATTTCCAGCAGTATTCACAAATTATGAGGTATTTGATATCGAGAGATGGAATGTGTTTCCACACGATCAAGATAATATAACTCCTGCTCTCAGTGTCATATCGGCGTTGCAACGATCCATCCAGGAGCAATTACCGTATCATGTTGAGGGCGATCTTGAGCCCATTATATTTCAGAATCACTTAGCAGGTACACTAGGGAGAGATAGCAACTTCCTGATCGACCCAATTCATGAACGTGAGGTCGCTGAAGTTCTATATAAAATCAGGCATTCGTTTGTTCTGAAGACTGTTACACAATTTCCCCGACGGAATCGTGGCTTCAAGTATCTGTCCCGGGAAATTCTGTATCCGGATACCTTGGAAGTGATTCTACCCAAAACGGTCGTTGTATTGTATTTATCAGGTGATATTTGGCAGGGTATGAGCTTGAAGTCAGTTGATTCTGAGCATGAGTCTGACAGCGGATCTGGTGGTCAAGCCCCTCCACCGGAGCCACGTTTACCTGTGCTGGTGGAATTTGATTTGACAGACTGGAAAGTAGATTTTGTTGTCGACAAGTGGACAATCCCTGGACAGGCTGTTTTACGGGAAGGTCTATCGTCAATAAGTGCAGTGGCGAATTCCTTGCACTGGCAGTATCCAGGCGTGTTATGGGATAACATAAGGGCAAACGAGGCCTATGAGGATCTCTTTCATAGATTCCAGAGAGTTCATCCACACCACGACGGAGATTATTTTCTAGAGCATATTCAAGTGGTATTGAGAGGTATACTAAGAAAAAGAGATAACAGACCGCATTACAGACTCGCAGTCATTACTGCACACGAGATAGCTGCTGGAGATTTTAGATTTTTTGAGAGTATTCATGGAGGCGACTCAGGGAGTCCTTTGCTTTACGTAGGTTACCATCCGCGAACTGGATGGAGGGGTATGCGGAGAAGGCGGGATGGTGAATCTAAAAACTTTATTGGAGATCTAGAATGGGGCGTCTCAGTTCAGCAGCCACGAGCCGAAGAGATACGAGCCGTAGAGCTACAAGCTGAGAGATTACCCGCTGAGCGTTTACCAGCTGAGAGGCTACCCGCTGAGAGGTTACCCGCTGAAAGGCTACCAGTTGATCCAATTGTGATTAATGAGCCAGTCGAGGCACCACCAATACTACCAGCTGTCATTTTACCCAGGATTGAGAATTATGGCATCAATTCTATCCGAGCCCCATTCAACAGAGATGGATGGACTTTTGACCTCGATCTAGAACATTTCAACGAAGGTCTGACACGTGGTGGTAATCGAACACTCTGGATACATGATTGCGCTCCACGAGCGGTGTATCATTCACTCCACCATCAACATCCTAACTATTTGAGAGGTAACCTCACTCTAGAATTAGTATTGCAAGCATTTAATGATGTTTTTCCCGGGCACGAAAATTCTTGGAAAGATGAAGAAGTCGCTAGAGTCCTCAGAGGATATCCGACGCTAGGGGGTTATGAACTTGCGATTGTCAATTGCGTGGTTCATGATGACAATACTATCATTGCTAGAGATTGGTCTCAACCAGAAGGATATAATTCTGAAAATCGAAACTTATTCTTTGTTGCGTCAGTCATTGATGGGCGACTAGGATACTGTCAGGAAGACAATAGACACCATTGGGTGGGTATGAAATATCGAGATGGCGAAGCAGTACCAAATCCTCGGTTATTCAGACACCAACCAGTCATCCCTCCTTCCAAGCCTCCAAAATCAAAATTCGTGTCTTTATTAAATGCAGCGACAAGCAGTCAAGCGTCGAAGAAAAGCCCTGTGTCAAAGAGTAACGCATCTGCTTGGTCTAATTTCGATACTTCGAAAAGCTTCGTATCCCAGTCTGGTAAAAAATGGGTTCCACCGTCTACTGTACCCACGAATCTTCCTATAACTATGATACCCTCTGTTCAAACCGGGCAAAGGATTGGAACCCCGGTGCAACAACAAAATCAGCCACCACCACAGAGCTTACAACCCGCTTCATCTTCCTTCAGATTGCAATATTGGTCACCATTTGGTACGGCTGCGCAGCAACAGCAGCAACCACCAGATTTAAACCGTCATACATTACCTGTTCCTTTTGGCGAATTTTTTGTTCATCCCACACCGCTACAACAACAGCCGCCACAGCAAGGTCAAAATATACAGGGACAAGGAGGTTTCGGTATGAATATCGCTAGTAGAAACGAACAAATGGAACTCGCGCATGAACTTCGAGCGGAACAGAGTCATGGAGGTAAATTTTTGAAGAAGGATAAGGAAACGGGGATAGGTGGGGGGAATCCGAGAGGTAGAGGAAGAGGAAAGGGAAGAGGAAAGGGAAGAGGTAGAGGAAGAGGTCGAGGAAGCGATAGCGGTAGTGGTGGCGGTAGAAGGGACGATCGAGGGAGCGGACAGAAAAAAGATGATAGGGATGCTGCTGGTGGTAGTGGTGGAGGAGACGGTGGAAGCGCGGGCGCGGCAGGTAATGATTGGGAGGATGAAATCTGAGGTTACATAAGTGGTCATCAGTTATGACGGATTACGTGATGAAGAGGTTTTGTCTCCTAGATATCTCTCAAAGTTCATGTCATGAGTTTGATTTCTCGACACTGGAGGAAAAAAAGATTGGAAAATTAGATGGGCCTAGGGGATGGATATTTGGTTCATATTTTCGGACAAGAACGTAGGAGAACAGATTGGATACTACCTACTTGTACATTTTTATTCTTTGTTTTCTTAGTTTTTTTATTCAAGACTACTTCGTAGTGTGCATGATTAAGTCTAGCGAACCCACGAACATCTTTTACGGAAGTGATTGTGATGTTATTTGAATGAAATCATTTCACTGCTTGCTTGAAGTTTTTTATTTCCCTTCAATTAGTATCTTGAAGAATAGTGAGAGAAGCCTTGTGAGAAATTCAGCATGATTGATTAGTATTGTTCAAATAGATTAAATGCTATAAATTCCCACATAAAAGATTATATTAAGTAGCGACAATTGAATGACTTCGCCCACATATCATTTGCTTGCCAACCCAGTCCAAGTATCTCAGATATTATAAATACCTCCAGGGCTAAATCCCACTAGTCTCTCAGAAGCATCACTAGGCCTGAATTTTTCCTCTTTTCCAGCAAGCTCGGATCCCTTCGCCTTATTCTGCACCTCTACAAACTCAAAGCCTTCTGCACCTGTCTTTGATTCCTCTGGGAGCAAATCGTAGATGGCCCGGGAATATTGCGGATCGATATTCCAAAGCTGGGCAAGGTAACCTACTTTAATAACCTTTGTGTCGACAAAACGCAACATGTTTGCCGTGTTTTGATGCAAGTGATCTCTTTGTGTCTCGGTCATTACACGAGTGTATAGTTCTCTCGCTTGATCGTAATCTGATAGTTTACCCTCGTGGTGGTAATGACTCTTGCGAGATACAACATTATCGGCTACAGCATAAGGAGCCTCGGCCACATCGGGACGGAATTTGTGCTTAAAGGAATTGGGTACGTATTGTGGATTTCCGGCATGGTTTGCATCGACACGCATTGGGCCGTCAAAATTGAGTGAACTGTATGAACCTGCCATGAAAGGACAGTTTACAGGAACTTGATGAAGATTCACTCCAATGCGATGATACTGTGCGTCGCGATAGAAAAACATGCGGAATTGTAAGAGTGGATCAGGACTATCTTCAATACCGGGTACCATGCTTCCAGGTGAAAATGCGGCTTGTTCAACATCGCGGTGGAAGTTTTCTGGGTTCTTGTTCAGGACCAACTTTCCAAATTCGCGCATCTATTTTCTGGGTTAGCAAGTCGCAATCAGGAGTGATGACTTGAGTCAACTAACCGGGAATTTATCTCTTGGCCATACTTTGGTGACATCAAATGGGTCAAAACCGAGAATGTTCGCATCGGCTTCATCTGGTTGCATAATCTGTACATGTGCTGTCCATTCCACTTCTTCTTCCTTTTCCAAAAAGTCCCAAAGATCACGTTTGGAGTAATCAGGATCGACTCCACTAAGTTTGATGGCTTCATCCGCCGTGAATTGTTTCTGTCCATGTTTGGCAATGAAATGATACTTGATGTAAACAAATTTCCCTTCTTTGTTCACCCACTTAAACGTGTGACAACCATAGCCATGATTAAATCGCCATCCTTGTGGGGTTCCATGGTCACTGAAGAACATCATACCAGCATGATTGGCTTCTGGAGTCAGAGCAAGAAGATCAAAAAGAGAGTTATAATCAAGTAAGAAATTCTTAGGATTGCGGCTTTGTGACCGAATGACATCAGGTCCTTGAATGGGATCTCGACAGAAAAAGACGGGCTGTTGAAAGGTTAGAAAAAATATTGTTTCAGCAACTTGAGTAACATACGAAGTTGAGTCCAACAATATCGTAATTTCCTTCTCCGGTATAGAATTTGACTGCAAACCCACGTGGATTACGTGCCAAGTCAGGAAATTCACGTCCAAGGGTGACAGTGGAGAAGCGCATGAAGACTGGAGTCTTCACACCCTTACCACTTAGAAAGTTTGCCTTTTGAATATTAGTATAATATAATCAGCCGATGGGTAAGACATGTCAAGGTTCACCTTTGTCAAGTCCGAGACATCTGCAGTCGTCTCAAAATAACCAAAAGCTCCACTACCACAAGGATGAACCATTCCTGTTTCTTCGTCAACATATGGTTCACAAGGTATGCATCATATATAAGGACTCACTCTCAAGATTCTTGCTTCGATTGAAGTGCTGCTGTTTTTGAAACAAGAAAACATCACTGGCCAAAGGCAAGCCTCCTACCGTCTTACTGTGTGCAGGGTCTGGAAACGGGATACCTTCATTGTTGGTAAAGTAAGGGCCATTGTCTTCACGCATACCTCCGCTTTGTACGCCTGATACTTTGGAAATAATTGCTGCAGGGCCATCATTTGCATTGTTGAAGAGGGAGCCATGCTGAAGCGGACGAGGGTCACCACCTGCGCTGCCAATTGCAGATTGGATTGCTTGAAGAGGATGAACGTTTTGAGCCATTGCGACCATTAATTGAGTTTCTGTGGTTTCGGCTGGGATTGCTTCCTGTGAAAACTCCTAATTATAAAAAGAGCAAGAAGTGGTGACACTGCCTCAAGATGAGGAAACCTCTGAAGTTAAACTACCATCTTCCCTCTAATGTCGTCCTCACGTCAAGATGACGTGCCGAATTGAAATCAGAACTCTCTATTGTAAGCCTAACTTACCTGACGTATCCAAATTATGGTTAACATCACGACTGCAAGCCAACATATTCCTTATGGTTACAGTGTAAAATTACCCCGTACAAAGTACTCGTTGATCGGAGGAAATTCTCCGCTCAAAATGCTCCTATTGGAGCATCATTCATTTTTGTCTTGGTGCTGCATTCCGGTAGATGATGATAGTCGGCCATTGGTAAACCAACTGTCCATGGAGCCTTTTTGTACTATTATCCATTTGAGATAAACCAAAGTGTCCCTATGAAGCCAATCAAGATGATTATATATCTGTAGAATATCTCCCCGCAGTTTGGATATCTTTATCCGGAGAAGCGTGAATTGCTAGTGAGGGGCGAATTGGTGATTACCGGCGTGATTACTAATCATTTCCATCAATCTGACTAATAAAAGTCGATTATTGATAACGTGGTTTATCATCGAGTGGCCCATATCATCGAGTGGCCTACTTTCACCTCAATTTACATCTGTCTCTTTCAACATACGTTTTATCAACAACCTATAATGAATTCGAATAATCAAGAAGCTTGTATACTCTTTATTATCGAAGCTATTCATAAAGATAAAAAATTAAGTATTTGAAAGGTTGTTATGCTTTATAATATTCTTTATACGATTTTTTGATATAGAATGGAAGGTTTATCTTTTTGTATAGAAATTTGAGTGAATTGTTATAAGATTATAGAATTAGAAGAAGAGATGATTGTTTAATATATATTTGATATAGATTTAAAAGGATTTTTATTTAAATTAAAGAATGTGGAAGATATAGTGAATGATATTCTCAAATCGAGGGGTGTGAAATGTATTAGGAAGCTTTAAGTGTATCGATTTGTAAAGTGTTGAATTGAATTAAAGATACATTTTAGTTATGTTTATAACTTTTAAAGAACTCTTTATAAGGATTTTAAGCTTTTTGAAGAGTGGTTTTGATTAGTTGTGAATATATAAGCGAAATATAATATTTTGGATGGAGATTTCTATAATTTTGATGAAATAGGCTTTATAATGGGGATTATATGTACAACAATAGTAGTAATTAGTGCTGAACGAAATGACAGAAGTAAGATAGTACAGCTAGGTAATCAAGAATGGGCTATAGCAATAATATACGGAAATGGAGAGGGTGAAATTATTCCTTTATTTCTAATAGTTTAAGGACAAGTTCATCTCTCTAATTGGTATACCGAAACAAATCTTCTTACAGAATAGGCTACTAAACCTACATCTAATGGGTGAACGAATAATGAGATGGATTTAGAATAGTTGAAATATTTCAATAAGTATATTAAGAATCGAAGAAAGGGTAAATATCGAATATTGATACTAAATGGATATGAAAGTTACGAATCAATAGCTTTTCAAATATACTATAAAGAGAACAATATTATATATTTATATTTATTATTATATTCAAGTCATTTAACTTAATCATTTAATGTTAGTTGTTTTAGCAATCTAAAACGTTCATATGATAGTCAAATTAATAGGTTTATTAAAATATATATTAATCATATTTTAAAGATTGAATTCTTTATAGCTTTTAAAGCTGTATATAAGGAATCAATCACTTTTTAGAATATGAAATCAGGATTCTGAGGAACAGGTTTAATCTTATTTAATTCTGAAGCTATATTCTCGAAATTAGATATTCAAATTCGCATATTTACCTCCCTCTCTTTCGATCTAGATCAATGGATCTCTCAAACCTCTTGTAATTCAACAGAAGCTCTTTCTCAATCAGTATTAGTTAAATCTCGAATAACTTGTTATTAATCAAGCTTTCTTATATTTATATTTGAAATTGTATTAGCTTTAGTTAAGGGTATAGAGAGATTAGCTTATGAGAATATATTTTTAAGTATAAAGAATTGTATATTTTGGATAGCAAATGAGGTATTAAGTAAGTGTTGATGTGTAAAAAAAACTCAATTATGTTAAGGAAAAATGTTTACTGAATAAAAGGTTCTTGATATATTATCTTAGTAAAAGGTTGATATTTAGATTCAATGTGATGAGTGTTAAAAAGGAGGGAATTCTAATAAGGAAGCATCTTTTAATTGATGTTGTAGTAAATGTGGAAAGACAGAATATAATACAAGAACCTGTCAAAATAATATAATAGATTCTAAATTATTAGATTCTTAATAGTTTTAATCAATTGATTCAATTATTGTTGAATAATATGGGTTTGAAAGTGTAAATTGAGGTGAAAGTGGGCCACTCGATGATATGGGTCACTCGATGATAAACCATGTTAACTAAACTAATGTGGTTTAACACTGAGTGCACCATATCACCGAATGCACCACTTCAAAATACACCAAAATTAGCCTTTTCCTAATATTCATATTTTAATACTTAATCAATATTTTTTAAAAAACAAAAAAGATTTATTAATAAGAAAATATTTTTTATAAAAGTATTAAGTTTCTATATAAAAATTTCTATTATATTCTATAAAAAGTGGAAATTGTCACGATTTTCGTTACAAAAAACTATTCCTATAATAACTACTATATTAATTCAAATTTTTATTAAATAATTAAATTTTTATAATATTTATATAATTAAATGTTACAATTTCAAATTTTGAAAAATTATATTATTAAATAAAGAAAGTGCACGGTTACGCACAGACGTATTTTGTATGTAAAATTCGTGGTGCACTCGGTGATATGGTGCACTCGGTGTTAAACCACGTTAGCTTCTTTACTCTTTATGTACGTTTCGTCATCACTTTAGATTTGAGGTTCATGATTGTTGGATTCTAGTGCGGACTAAACAGCACCCCTGGTAATATACGTAATTATAGGGATAGATGGTTATGGTTCTAGTTAAGATCTTTTTTGGGGTTGGGGGTGGGAGGTTTTCATGTTGGAAAGTAGATCACGTTCATATATCTTTTTCGATATCTTTTTTAACCCCGCGATCATAGGTAAGTAAGCCAGATCTTTGGAGAGCGGTAAGGAGCTCCAATAGTGTACTTATACATCTCTCAGAGTGGCCCCTCATCCCTAACCGCCCATCGCTAACTCCCTTCACATCATAGTCTCCCGAGTAATCAATTAGCGCTGTCAACAATCCTACAATGGTTCAAGAGAATAGTTTGCTCAGAGCATTAAAAAGGCTGTGGCTAGAAAGAAATGCTTTGGTATAATCGAGCGATTTACATATGACTTGGGAATTATGATTATCAACGGCTTATTCAACAGAAGAAAAACCATCACGTTTCTTGTTTCTAACATGCCCATTAAGATTTTGCATCAGCATGGTATATATCAATCAGTATTTCGTTGAATGATATAACTATTCATAGCAGCTTTCTAGCGGGTTGGAAAGATACGAGGTGAGAGAAGAATGCAGTTTCTAGATTATTCGCTTAAGTTGTCGGCCCTCTCCAAGCTGGAGCCGACACTATATACACCCCAATAGCATATAGACTTCTTGAACCCGACAATTACATACGATTTGAGAGGCTGAGCTGTGGCATTGTCGGACGAGGAAAATAAAGTGCAGAGAGGTTGATATTTACCGACAGGAATTCACATTCGTATTTCATGATTAGATCCCCTAGAGTCAAAGAGTATTCTACTAGTTGTGAAAAAGAAAGTGTTGGAAAGAGCATGATTTTACAAATAACCAACATCAGATTAGTTGAAGTGAGAAATTTCACTTAAATGAAGCTAAGAGATCAAAGGACGTGATTTTTCAAGCATCTATTGAGATGTGCTCGTTGAAAACATGCAGTAGTAACCATTCGTATGTTCTCTCAAAGTGGACTATAATGTTGGACTGTTCCACCTAGTGACTGGTTCCACTCAAACGCTCCCCAATATCCATTCCTAGCCTTCATCTCGTATTCATTTCATCTAAATACAGCACAATCCCCTCGCAAAAAGCAATGACACTGATTTGAGCCAGCTTAATTAAGATTAAAGTTTTGCCAAATTCACGATATCTGTCGAAACTCTCCTCATCCAAAGCGCCTGCCTCTGCTCTCCCTGTATTTGACAACATCTCCCCTCTATACAACAGACTTTGTTCGTGATCCCCCTTCAAATCGATCAACCTGAGCATCTCCACTATCAGCATTCATTCCGTCAACTGAATTCACTGCATCTCCGTCATCTGCGCCAGATTTCCGAATCGGCCTGCTTGGAAGTATGACAAGAAGCAGAATAGTACTTTCGAGTGAGAGCTCCTCAGCGATAGCGAAGTACCTCGGAAAACGCTAGATGCTAGTATTGGGAAGCTTCTCGAGTGCCGATCTGAGTTCCGTATCGGTAATAGGAAATTTGCCTGTAGAAATCATGATTTGATGATTTAATAGAATATCGATGTATTGCCGTGTTGTTTGAGTCTTCAGGTCGAAAGTCTCTTGATAGAAGGTTTTGAGCACATTGTCACGAAATAGAGGATGTTGTGCCTGATCCATTACAACTAATTTATTCCAGCTCCCCGCTATATTACAGCTTGAATAAGATCGACAATTGCAGCGCGTTGAATATCGTTTATGGCCGAGTTGAGAATAGAGATCGCATAGTCTTTTCTGTTTATGTAGCTTTGGTATATTCTCATTGCATATCTGAGTCTGTTTCTGCTGGTACCGCTACTGTTGTTTCAGTGTCACTAAGGAACCCTAGTGTGTTTGCTGCCACCATAGCCATTACGACCGAGTTCTCGAAGAAGGGGTAGTTTTTGCCGTTGAAAACTACAACTGGACCCCACTTCGTCAAAACCGAAGTTTCATTTTCTGGTTGTTCCGAAGCCATCGGAACAGTTGTCTTCAAGGTCTTGTGATATCGATAATCAGGTTGTTATTGCTGGACCATTGGAGTGTGCCACAAAGTCCTGATATTGTGAAAGAAGTTGAGGTGTAGAGTTCGAGGCTACCGTTACTTCTCTATAAAAGTGTAGAAATTGTGCGTGAATTGCATTTGCCATCACAGATTCACTATATATGAGAGAATCACACCAGCGAATCACTTGATTCCACTATAATATGCTCCTTACCACCGGAGTTGAATAGGTATATTCAGTACTGGTACTCCTATTACAAATGTGAAGAATTTGCTGCACGGAAACACACTCAAAGGAAATAATCCCATAGGAACCATCAACTCAAATCTCTGAATGAGAATTATGGTACCAATTAGCTTTAAATTCTATTTAACTGAGAAAAGCAGTTCATTCTATAATTATTATTACTCTAAAATGTATCTATGGATGTGAGATACTTCTTAAATTCGTCCAAAATACCAATCTGCTCATACAAACAATATACACAGGCGTACACCAAGATCTCTCATATAAATCAAACCTACATCTATCATGTGATCGATAGACCTTAGGGTGCTGGTGTTACAGGATGCATGAGTTTATCTTTAATATGAGATAGGGTTTCTCTGAAGCCGAGATGGTGTCCGTGATTGGATTTTCTGTTTTCTTCCTGTGGATTCCTTTTCCCATAATAACTTGCTTCAGACTCAGAGTTACGTCGACGGCGGGGATTGGAATTAACGGAATCAATTGAAGGGTGATGAGAGTTCTGAGACTTAGGCTCCTTTCGATAATATGGATCACTTGGTTGCAAAGATATAAATCGACGTCTACTAGACGTAGAACTGGATATCGGTACTGGAAGTGACTCAGAAGTCTGTGGTGGAACAGGTTGACCGGCTATCATAGTTGGCGTGACTTGAGGGTACTGAGGTACGGCGACTACCTGGGGAGCATTCACAGGTGGCATTACGTGGCCTCCAGGTGGAAGGGCACCGACCATTGGATAGATTGGCGGTGCTGTTGATGATAACTGAGGCACTGATGATCGTCGCGAATGATCTTGCTGAATGTTTATAGATGGCTCTATATACTCACTCACCATCGGCTCATGCATCGGTAGATTTGTTGTCTTCTTAGTCAACGGGTAGTCCCCAAAAGACTCCTTTCTGTCACGAGGGCGTCTATGATCATAATAGTGCTGTCTTCTATGCCATGAACTTTTCCGGGGTGCCAAGCGGTGACGCCTAGGATTTCGGCAACGATGCTGATGCTGATGCTTATGATGATGATGATGATGATGATGCGAATGTTCTGGAGGTATACCTATGATCTTAAGGGTAGGTTTCGATTCAAAATCTACTGTCTGAATATTCTCACCAGGCTGTACTCTCAGTATCGTCAAGTTTCTTGGTAACCCCATATCTTGCATCGGCAGTTTCCTTTCAGCTTCTTGGATGGTTCTGAAAACTCCAGATGCATGGGCAGCTTTCAGTAAATTAGTGACGCATTACATAATTGTATAGTGAGCCAATTCACTTACGAATAATTGGCTGGAATAGAAGATTTATTCTTCCATGACTTCCATGCAACGTTTGTAAGAAATTTAATAATGCTTTTGGGGCAATCCAATTGCCATGATTGTTGCTAATATACATATGCTGAAGACGATTCAGCACTCTGTTATTGTTATTTGTTGGCATGATCTCCCAAAGGAAGAAACTTCGGGAACGGCGGCGAAGGTTAACATCTCTAAATTTCAATGTTCTGTTGGTGGATCGTGTTGGGTTTAATTTACCCCAACGTCCAACCCAGGGATCTTTTGAGCCGGATATGTAGGCACTAACTCTCTACCAGATTGTCAGTAAATACAACATGTAATAAGAAAAATAAGGAATTAAATACAGTATTGTCATCTTCTAAGGCGAGTCTAGATGCGTCTCTCGCTTCTCTCTTGTCTCTCGGTATTCTTGTTTGGAAAAATACATACAATGTATTTGGTTTCAAAACCCGTAGTGAAGTCATGGTGTGGACTGAATGAATTGATCGTCCAATCTGATTTTAAAAGATTATTAATGGGCTGTGATTGCACTCTATTGAGAACTGAAGCCATTAGAGATGGGCATCTTTTCCATTATATTTTGATTGACCGAAGATATGACGCCATGCTTGAGGGCAGGATTGGTAGGATATGGTCTGGTGTGTATGTTCAAACTGGATTAACCAAAAATATAAGTGACGTAGAAAGGAGAAATGGTCTAAGACAGGGTCTTACAGCCTCTGGGCAAGCGCTTATCATCAATTCCAACAAGCAGATTGGAGGTGGTTTAGCAGCCATTGCTGCGGCCAGAATCTAGACTGTAGATAAGCGAGCATCTGTAAAAGGTCAACCGGAACCACGCCGTTGGTTGAGATTGCCATGCCAGGGAGGGAATCGAGTTTCTGTACTTGCTGAATTGACACAGGGAGTTTAAAGGCTTGTAACAGCCTCTGATTTGGAAACTCGTGTACTTTTATACTCGAGTTTGTTGTAGCCATCATTCAAATGTATGTAATTCACGGAAACACATGTGTCAATTGAAATGCGTGGTTAGGTGTTCGCGACACTCATCCTTTTGACAGAGCACACAGTGGATGATTGGGATGATGAATATTCACCTGCTATTCCACTTTAAATTATGATGGAAAGGTGAAGACAAAAAAGATGCTGCACCAAGCATTTCAATGTGGCAATTGAGGCAGGAGCTACCTGTCCTCATTATCAGCTGACCCTTCCACGATACCGTCTTGAAACGTGATTTGACAAAGTAGAATGAATGAGAGGATGGACATCTAGAGTGAAAACGTAACCAGGGAATGTTGAGAGCAATTTATTAATTAGATTCTCTCAAACTTCGTAGCAAAGACGAGCAGCGGTTGCGAGAGATACTACTTTCTAGAAAACTTGGAGGTCATCATATGTCGTACGTACAGAGTACTACTCTGTATTTTTACCATACCTTTTCTCAAGTATCTTCACAGCGACGACGATACTAGGTATATAGCGTAATTAGACATTACGTCGAATTATCAAGCTTCCGTTTATATTTTCCTCTGTAAAGTGGGATGTAAAATCTGATATGCACGATAAACACATAGTGATGTTACACTGCATATGCGGGGATGCCAGCCACAGACTTCGCCTCAGCGACTTTTCCAGCTCTGAACTGAGGCAGTGCATCATACATAACAGTCTCACAATTAATTGTACCGTAAGATTTTGGGTTGTTAAAAAATCTTTCCTCATTGAATATTCGAAACCCTTTAATTCCAAATCGTGGAATTTTGGAGCGGGAAAGGAGATATATGAGCGCAATTGAATTGGCGACAGCTAGGGCTCAATTCACCATGGCGGGCGCGGTAGATGATGGATGGACAATGGTGATCGGACAACCCGCCAGTGAGATACGGGAGGAAAAGCAAATAGAAGAATGGGAGCGCTCGAAAGGGGGCTGGTCTGGATTTGGTAAACATCCTCAAAACTGGACGGATCATAAGAAATTGCACCTATCGTCAGAAAAAGAATTAGGCTCCGGAAGCTATGGGCTTGTGCAGCGCGTTACATATGGTGCCGTTACCATGGCCCGCAAACAGTGAGCATTGTCTCCAACACTCCGGTTCTATGACTCCGTGAGGCTGATGTGTATTTCTCAGCGTGATACCTCGAGGTGGAATGACGGTCGAAAAGCTCCGGGAGGAAGCTAATGCCATGGAGGAATTGGCGCATAAACATATTTTGAAGCTGGTCGGCACATATACGTATAAGCGCAAAAATCTATACCTACTTCTTTATCCGGCGGCAACATGCGATCTGAGCAATTTTCTCGATGATATAGAAGGGATTCGTTCCGATACGTGTGCCGATAGGGATGATGCGATGAAACGACTTTTTGCTCTCGGACTCAAGGATATTGGAAAAATTGACGATTTGTGTATGTTGAGACGACCAATTCTCCCTTCAGATCATCCGACACATATTAAAAGGACAGAAACCGCACTGGGATTCCTACAACAGCTTATGGGATGTGTTACAGAGGCATTGTTATACGTTCATGATAAAGGTATTCGGCATCGGGATTTAAAGCCCAAGAATATTTTACTAAGTCCCGGTCGGGTATACCTCGCCGACTTCGGTATCGCGAGAGATGTCAAAGATTCGGACAATAGCATAACCTGTGGAAGATATGGTACTGCGTCTTGGATAGCTCCGGAGGTTTATGATGGGGAGTATCATCATATGTCTAGTGCAGATGTTTTTTCCCTGGGTTGTATATTCCTCAATATTGCGACGGTATTATATGGAGATTCAACTGAATTAGCGACATTTGACGAAGTAATGAAGGAGAAGGAATGGCCAATGAAGTATGAGATGTTATCTAAACATCTTAATAAATTAAGGGACAAAGCAATAAGAGCAGCATTAGCAGACGAAGAAGAGCCCAACTTCGACGCCAAGAATATACTTGGTCTGGTGGAGAAAATGTTGTTATATGAACCGGAACAGCGACCTTCAATCAAAGAAGTTAACGAGAGATTATGTGAACTTGGAGGCTTAGATCAAATCTATCATTTATCTTGCTGTCACAAAAAGAACGACATCATGTCTCGATCAATAAGTGAGTTTCTTCTATCCATTTCCCAACCAAAACCCACTCTAACCATACAACCAGACACAAAAATGAGAAGCATCTCCGAAAATAGTCTTTCCTCAAAAAGCCGAATCTTGGAATTAGAAACCGAAAACATCACTCTTCGAGAACGTCTCGCAACTCTCCAAAATAAAGATCAAACCTACGAATTACGAATCGAACACGAACGCAACCACGCAAAGAAACAAAACGACGTTCTGAAAGAACGTTATGAAAAGCAATTAAAAGCACAAACCGAAGCCCTGATGCGCGCAGAAGAACGCATCAAAGTACTCGAATCAAACAACCCGCACAAACGCCGACCATCACACACCCGAGGTCGCGGTCGCAATGTTCCCTACGGAACACCACATCCAACCAATACCCTCAATATCAACAATCTCGCCTTCCACACCAACTCCAGCATCTCCATGCCATCTCCATCTCCATCTCCCTCCCCCTCTTCCAATCCGAACCGCAACCCCGCGCCCCGCACCCCAGAAAGTTATTTCGCCCCCCGTAACCCCAGTTTCACAAACCTGAAAGACCCCTCCCTCTCTCTCACCCGCCGTCCCTCCGGCATTCCCATCCCCACCCGCTCTCCAACCCCCATCACCACACCCCACAAATCCCATTTCCCTCCCCCTCCCACTAGCAACAGTAACAGTAATCCCGCCAGTCGTCCCGGAAGCGGAAACTCCACACTAGTCAGCAGTACCCATTCTATCTTTTCGCTCAAGAGTAAAATGACGGATACGGATGGGAGTATTACGTCGACGGAGAGTTCGGGGGAAAGGATGAGTTTACCTGGGAGTCCGGGGCGTGGCGAGACAAAAGAGGGATTAGGTGAAGGGCTGGGAGATAGGAGGATGAAGATTAAGAATGGGAATGAAGGGAGAGAAAGGGAAAAGGAAAAGGAAAAAGAAAGGACGATTAAACCTACATGGGCGAGAATGGTTATGGGGAAGACTTGAGAGATGGATATGCCGTAATACCAGATAAATACGCAGATATAGCATACAATCTCTTCCTAAGTCCAACATCTAAAATCTACTCCTCCTTGAACCCCCTCCCTCCCCTGAATCTAACCACCAACAATCTACCTTTGAAAGCCTTCAACAATTCAATTATTCCATTTCAACTCAACTCAACTCAACTCCAACAATTATACCTACCTAGTTAAACAATATTCAAGAAATCATTCGATATCATATCAATGATTATACAATTTTTACCACTGACTTGATTGAATTGATATATCACAGAATCGACACATCATAGAAATTCATGAGAATGCTCATTCATAGCCTCTCATCTCTCTCATACATAAAGCCTATAAGAAAATCATAGTTCCGAGAGTTCTGCGAAAGCTTTTCGTATGTGCAGAGAATTACTAGCTTCGTAACTACGAGGCTCAATCTAAATGTAATCTTACATCGTTCTCTTCTAGTTGGGAGAATCTCTTGACACCTGGATGGTACTAGACCCAATCATATTTATGATTATATAGCAAAACATATGATGACATTCACACATATATATATATACATATACACATACACATATACATATACATATACACATACATATATATATACAACACCACCCCGAAGAAAATTTCATTCGGGAATTGATTGCGACCGCCAGCGATCACATCATTTCATTGAATAACTTTTATATACATACATAAATAAATACAGAAACCCTTACCCTCACCGTCCACCCAACCTTCCGTACTTCGCATCCTTCATTTCGCATAATAGCCTGCAATATCATTAATCCATCTTCTTCCCCTTTCATTCCATTCCTAGCAATTTAAAAGCAATCTTCATCCACCTCTGAATTTTCACCTACAACGTTTCTACACCTGAAAACAGTTACATATCACCACCGCTCTCTACTTTGTACTACTCTTCTTCTTTCCCTTCTTCTTACTCTTCTTTTTACTATGACCTCTCGAACTACCAACACCACTTCCACTATCCGCCCCCGTATTATCCGTCTGACTAGATCTCTGACTCTTCCTCTCTCCATCAGCCAATTTATCCGTGCTTGCTGCATTACTCAAAAATTGCATGAACTTATTTTCTCCTCCATTAGCACTCTTGCTTCCACTACCAGTACTACTTGAGTGTAGTACTCTACCATCTTTATGATTTTCCTCTTCACTACTTGCGTTTGTCTCCAAGACCATCTTTCTAATACCACCAGCTTCTACCAAGTTTTCTGTGATACTTCCACTTCTAGCTGTACTTCTCTTCTTGGATGGTTTGGCTGGAGGACTTGTACCGCTTTTTTGAGATGGTAGGGATCCGACGGTATCTGTACTTTTGTTTTTGTTGAAAAAGTTGGAGATCGAAAGATTGTTGCCGGGTGATTGTGGTTGCCCTACTGGGCTGAGTGGACCATCATATTGGGGTGGTTTGGTCGAATCCTCCTCGACAAGTTTACTAGGAATGCGGTTGCTTAAAGTACCATAACCTTGTTGCAAAGCTTGAACTCCATCTTTGGCGTCTTGTCCGGCTGATCTGAGTAACCCTTCCCCTTCACCACCATGAGGTCCTGGAGAGTCATGGTATGGCTCAAATTCAGATTCCTCGACAACAGATCCACGATGAGGAATCGAGTCCGTTCTGGAATCGGTCCTATTACCAGCAAGAACGTTTCCAGGCTTGATTTTGACAGACTGATACTTTGTCATCTTTGGTCGACTAGCAAGATTGGATGGGCCTAGATGTTTCAAGTGTTCACGCATATCATTCATATTAGCTCTGACGGCAACGATGTTTCTGTCGTTGTCACCTGTTGAAACTCTACGCATGAATGTCGTCTTGGGACTAGTACCGAAATGATTGGCAGGGCTGACGCTTCTAACATCGGTTTGATTACGTCTCCTTCCGCCAGCATGCAAGTTATTTGGACGGTCTTCCGAGAGATCAATGAGACTGTCCTCGGCACCTTTAAGGGAACCATTGGCCGGCGGTTCAACGACTTGATTTGGCTTGATTCTTGAAGATTTGGGAGCTGGGGCCATTCGTCTGATGGCTTTGTGAACATCAATATAAACATCAGACTCATCAATAATTTCCCTATTGTTTGTTAATTCCATGCAAGTAAAGAGCGACAAATTCTACTTACTCTCCAATTAGCTCTTCGATGACATCTTCTAATGTAACCACACCGGTAGCACCAAAGTTCTCGCCAGGATATTCAGAAACAAGTACCATATGAGATTTTCCTTCTTGGAAGAAATTTACAATATCCAAGCAACTAGTTTCAGGTCGAGTCTCCGGTAAAGTAGCCAAGGCGAAATCACTGACACGTTTACAGTCTTCCGGATCGTATGTAATGAGAATCTTAACCAGAAGCATACCGACAAAATTCTTCTCATTTCCGGGTTCGTAAATAGGAATTCGAGAATAACCAGCACTCAAAATGACGTTCATAGTATCCTCATCAAGTATCGTATCGGCACTCATAGTGAAGACATCATCCATTGGTGTCATGATATCTCCAACTGCTTTCTCTTTCAAGTCCAATACTGCACTGATGATTGTAACTTCATCTTGGTTCAATCGATCGCTAGGACTTGTTCCTAAAGTTTTGTGCAAAGTGACAAGTGTCTTGAGACCAGATTTCTTGTATACGGTTCCGTGATCCTCTCCTAGTAGTTTATCGAGAAGTTTGGCAGTTGGCCATGCAACAGGTGCTAATAGCCACATAAGACCTAGCACAGGTGGTGCCATAAATGCTCCGATAGAAAGACCATATCGCACACAAATTGATTGAGGAATGACTTCTCCGAAGATAACTAACGCAAATCAACACACACTCCATCAATGCGATAACTATACAACGTACCAATCAGAACTGTACTACCAAGAACCGCAGGCCATCCACCACCGAGTGATCGATCGAGTACGATAGGCAGCGTTTCGTTGACAATGACATTGCTGAGTAGCAATGTCACAAGAACCCAATGTTTACCCTTCTGTAATAATCCATATACCCTTTGTGCATGTCTCTGTTCCTTTCCTTCACCGGAAGTCGCGATAACTTGTAAATAAACGCCATCTTGTCCCATCAATCTGGATGCAAATTTCTATTAGCATGGGAACTGTGTGAACTTCCATTGAACACTCACGCAATCGTCAATCCCGCGAAAGCACCTCCAAGTAGAACCAGAACAGCTGCAACTGATAGATATAACCATAAGCTTGCATCTTCGGCATCTTTTGGCGCATCCTCTTCACTGGCAATCCCGAGAAACGCTGTAATAGGAGCGGCAGATACTGAGGTGATTTGGCAGATACTCAAGAATAGAATCTTCGCAAGGCCCAAGATGGCAGGTCTCGTAGAAGTGTAGCCATTGCTGATGAAGCTTGAGCGACTATTTCCGACCATCGATTTTGAGGTCATCTCAACTCTATCTATAATTTGTGATGTATTCTCCAATGATCACTGTCCACGACAGTAATTCAATTGGGTCCAGCTCCCTGTATGTTACTCTGTAGTGTGGTTAAAAGAGGTGGAGCTTTTTTTTTCTCTCTCGAGATTCTTTTCGGGCTCTGGTTACTTATTTAGACTGAGTACTGGGATGATCTGAAAGTTCTCGGCCGAGATGTGGATACTACCTAGGCAAGTAATGAATGGGTGATAAAAGTGGCAGGTTGGTGTAATGATCACGACATCAATGTGGTGGTGGTACTATATGAGGTGTGGGAATTGAAGGAGAACGTCGAATTGGAATCCAGAACACGGCAGTTTGATACTGACAAGACTCATCAACGTTATTCGTGAAGGATTCCTATATTGATGTACTGAAGTGTGGTTGTGGTTGGTGTTGCGTGAAGTTCAATCATTCAGTCTGGACAAACGAAACAAAGAAAAGAAAGTTAGTGAAGCCTACCTTGATAAATCTCCTAATTAGGGTTGATACATCAGGGGCTCATCTCCTTTGGCCAATCAGATCAGTCCCAAGCACATATGACGATGGTGGTGCTCCACTTAAATCGGATATTCCTTGGTATCCCCATTCACTATTCACTCCCATTCACTAAAATCACGCTTCACTACGCACACGGAGGAGGTGTGTCCAGGACCTTATTAATAATACAATTATTATTCTTTCTCGATTCAGAGGACTAAAAGTTTAGTTAAATAAATAGTAACTAACTTATGATAATTGAGCAATATCCACGGATTCGTTCCAACACTATTAATAACTCCTATAGATTTGTTTGTGGTTGATTGATTTGTTCTAGAATTTATTATGGTGATTAATGTTGGCCTCTTTCTCCTCCTGCGCGTAGGTATGGAGGTCTGGTACCGGACGACTGGTTCTCTCTACCCCGTATCTCGTATACATTTTCTATATTTTCCATATTTTCCATTTCTGACTTCTGCTTTTTCAGTGTTTCACTAGAATCACACTACGCCGCTACTCATCAATCAATTATATCATCACTACCAAGTCAAGTACCAAGCAGTCGGTCAGTGCTTACGTCATTAGCGTGTATATCCTCGACGTCCATATGGTCGAAATCTTCACCCAAGTGAAATCTTACATTCATCTGCGTCCTTTCCTCTCCTGAGAATGTCTTTGATTCGTACCAAAAGCTTGATCTCACATCACCTATCAGACATGTATTTGGATCTGACTGCATATTATCTCTTGTTATCCGTCATGAGTACATACCTGCTGCCTTCAAAAGTTTGGCATGGAGTGAAAAATCTATCAATCGGCATACCATCACTCAACTGTTTCTTGGAACACTCTTGGATTCAGTTAATTGACAAAAGTACTCATTTTCCTATCTTGCTCCAGGATGAAGACTAGGATGTCAAGCCGAGATAATACGCATATCGAAGAGATGAAGAGAATATGAGCATGTATTCTCGTCTTGGCAAAATTTCAATCTTCCTTCTGAGATAAAGACATGGCGATAATAAGAGCTGAGGTTATTCCCGCAAAAGCCTTATGCGGTATGAAAGTCGATGTATCAGGTTGTGCGAAGTCTCATCGGTCACAAAGATTCTTTGAAATCATAGCGACCTCGGGCTACACGGAAATCAGAGCATATGAAGTTTCATGGCACATGTAAAGTTTGATACTCTACCCACAATTCATATGGAAAGTCGTTCCATCCAATACACCTAACATTTTGAATCATTTCAAATGTTTTTTGGGAATGAAACTGAGGTAGCAAAACCTTTTATTTGAAACATTGGGGTACACTACTTTCTTTTTCTTTTTCTTCCTCGCATCCCTCTCGAGATCTTACTTCCCTCACGTTATCGGAAGGCTCTGCGTTTCGGAATGAAATCACTACAACATCATAACAAAGTTCCTCGCCGAAGTCTCGGGGAATTATATCATGCAAGACTATTTACGGCGAGAATAGACTTGTTCATCCTGATCTTGGGACACAAAAACCCGTATTATGTTCACGTTTTAGTTTTCTCTCGCTTCAGATACTATCTCTCTCAAACAATGTCTCTTGGATATGTACAAACACTTGGTAGCACGGGTAACACGCACGTTGTTGATGGCACCCGGTAAACTCATAAACGTCGAGAGCCTCATTGTGACGTTTCTGTCCAATCAATCAAAACATGGTCACGACATTAGCGTGCGCGTAACACTTTGTGTTCAACGCGGGATGTCAAATGTGTTCACGTTATCAATCATGCATTGTGCAACTGAGATAAGGATATCGTTAGAGTTAGCATTGTCAAAAATTTATTCGGTGATCATCTAATATTTGAAAACGATTAATAACAAATTTGATGGCTTTCTTTCTCACGCGCAATTTAAGTATTTCTTGTATTTGATTATCTTTAACATGGTTTAATTATGATATTTATTGCCATTAATTTGCGCCAACCGAAAGATGCTTCTCGCTTACTCCCAACACCATCATTGTCCCAAACCCCGCAGTGCCACATACCCCACCGTCAACCTAGTAGCAGCAGCATTTCTGATCGTTATCTCGCTTCTGCATCTATTGGATGTAAACAGTCAGTTGTTGTGATCCATGGTTACAGAAGGATTTCAAAAGCGTACTAACTAAGATTACTTCGAGCCAGTGTTCGTCTTCTTGAGAACATTCGCTTTGGTAGTATCTCTAGCCACGATTGCAGTCAAGATTTCTGCATGCGAAGTCTGATCATCACTCAAAGTCAACAATCGTCTCAATCCTTGCTCTCGTCGCATCATAAGCTGGGTAGTTCGGGGATTGATGTGCTTTGAATTCCGGCCGTTTGACATCGTTTCGCCATATTCATATCTAGATCTTAACTCGTCCTGAACCTGGGATCGATAATTTCTTCGCCGCCTAAACAATTTCCTGGGGGCTTTTTCCATGGTGCCTCGTCCTTCAAAAACTTCTTCAGGTGCCTCTTTGATTGTGGGACTTTCCACTAGGTTACTGGTCGGCGTGCTGCGCTTATTCTTAGCAGCCTGGTTTGATGTGTTAGGACGAAAGAAGGACGAAACGCGTTGGTTATATTTATCATTGGATTCCGTGATATCAGCAAGGCTGAATTTGTAAAGAAGGGCTGTAGCTGCCTCAACACTTTGGGATTGGTTATTGAAGGGAGCCATTGCTTCGATAGCAAAGTTTGAAATGTTGATTATTTGATTTTTCTTTGATGGATTGAGATAGATCGAGATCTGGAGACTGGAAGTATCTTATAGATGAAGAAATGTTTATGTGAGAGGAAGTGTTGTGCTATTGAGTACCTGAGAGAAAGTTTTATAGGTTTCAATAGTAATTGGCTGGACCTTATGAGCTTCTAGTCTTGTTGCCCGTACCTAGAAACACGGCTCAAAGTGTTTTGACATCGTTCAAGCATATGGTTCATCAAGGAAAGACTTTGGAAGCCGTACCTGATTACTACCGTACTTTCTGATCATTTCGCAAGAAGGACGTACTTTCGCCAAGTTATGAATATAGACAATGGCTTTCCACACAATTGATAATTTCTCGACAGTGGCCGAAAAGCCCAGCATTTTGACTGCTGGATGGTTTCCAAAAGTGCACTTACGGGGAAATCTCGCTTGTGAATGGTTCTCTTGATTAGGGATATGGGGAGTAGGAATTGGGTGTCTGAGTCTTGCTTACAGATTATATGGGAATTTATCTTTTGGTCCTTGCTACTTGTATGTAGCAATATAATATATTTACATCATTGCATATTCGCCAGATATGTTTGTGTTCTATACAGATTTGATATCTGTGTTTACATTTCTACCATTCTACATGTGATTTGATGGGTAGATATCTGGGGTTTGAGAAGAGAGATCTTTCTTCTCGGTTCGCCGGGGGTTGTTGAGAATGGATACCTGACTATAGTTTTCAAATATTAGACTGGTCCCGGTATGTGAGCTCGTTGATAGGAAGTATATCGGATCAGTGTTGAGAGCAATTTTGGGTAATTTGGATTTGGTGGTTCGTTTCATGGATGATATTTTCATATGATGAGGTTCTTAAGAGAGTTGAATTGTGTGTGTCGTTATTTCCCCATTTAATGCACACCATTCGAATACAAAGTAGGGGTTTGTCTCTCATCATGACATTTCAGTTTATTACTATCAAAGACTTCCACACGATGCATCAAATCCATCTAGCTAATTGCAAAGGGTTTGATATCTATCAAGTGAAAGAGAACGTGCCGGATTCGATCGGTAAGTATTGTTCAATGTCTCACTACGTATGAAGCTGTCTCTCATCCTGATTTCTATCACTGAGTTTTGCTGCTACTAGAGATTATATTCACTTTCATGATATATGAAGATATGATTACATTGTTAGAATTGTTTATTGCGTTAAAATCTACTTCAAATGTTCTACAAAAATAGATCCGTACCATCACATCCGAAAACGAAATGTTCACAAGATCAATCGAAACCCATTACACAATATTATTCCAAATTCTCCCTTGACACATGTGGTACATGTACATGTGAATTTCCATCTCTCCGAAATATTCGTCCTCGGAAAAGAAGCGGAACCATAAACCCCATAGTTAATGGTGATTTCTTCTCCTTTCTTGATATCCCTCATCGCGCGAATCGAGATACTATGTTCTGAGTGGAAGGAACGCGAACAATTGGGTAGACCAGCGTGGTTGGTACGACATGCTTTATCGTAGATAAAATTGTTATTCGTCACATCACCAACTTGTAGAAAAGGATTTATTTCGAAAGAGTTGATGGCCCATCTTTTCATGAGAGGGGTCTCGAGACAGAATTCGGGTTTCTTACCGCACATGCACATGCTGGAAAGAGAATCAACTGCTGCTCTTTTGGAGGGGGAGAGAAGGTTGTAGGCTGCTTCGCGGCCGGGCCAGGTGGGCCCTCCAGAAATGAGAGGCGCTTCGCGCAGGATCTCGGTGTGTCTTGGGATGGGCTGCGTGGCGAATGTGCCGATTTGTTTTCCTCGCATTGTTGGCTTGATCGTGAAGAGATGGGGGGAGAATTGTTCTTTGGGGGTTGTTAGTTGGGGTGCAGATGTATGTGGTGGGGATGGGGGCATTTAGATGGCGTACCTCTGGTGATCACCTTCTCTTGGAGTACTTTCCTAGGCGCAGGAGCAGCATTGCCATTGCGTTCAGTGTCGTTGTCTTTGAATGGCGTGATCTTATCGTTGTCCGTGTTTCTGGTGATGGATTTCTCATTGCGTCTATGTTGCGATGAGATCTTCACATCATCCCCACTCATCACAATATTCCCTTCGTGATCCTTTGCAAGAGCTTTCCTGCTTTCTTCGGCTACAGGTGCAGCCTTTGGGACTGATTGAGTGGTAGCGGCTTCTGCTGCTGCTGCCTCTTCACGGTCTCGCCTAATGGCGCCAAAGATTGAGTTCATACTCGAGACATCATTTCTGTTGGTCACAATGATGCTTCCAAATAATTCTGAGAGATTATCTATGCCATTGATCTTATTTGATGTGGGCATTTTGATGTTTTAGATTTTTATTCAGTCTGCAGGGTGAATCGTTAGTGTTGTGAATGAGCCAGATGGAGGAGAAGGAAAAGTGAGGAGAGAAGAGAATGGGTGTAACTTACTATTTAGCTATTGAAGTAGTTCGTGGAAGTGTTGAAGATGTAATGAGGAGATTTTGTAAATATACATCATCTCAAGAAGATAATTCATTTGTATTCCTTGCCAGATATCCTGAGAGTTCTTCGAGTAAGTCCTGTTCCGAATCTGCAAGATATTGTTGTAACAAGAAAACTTCAACCCGCGCAAAGAAATCTATCTCTGCATACGAGAAGTTCTCAGACCCTCAATACAATATAAATTATACAATTCAGTACAGCTTCACTAGTGATAATACTAGACTCTTACAGAACCTTTCCACAGCCGTACATGACATACTTATCATTATTATTAGTCCCGGATTTGCGAAAATAAGCGAGTGGTTTAAATGATATATTTATGGGTAACGAAGTACTGTATGTGAGTGATTCGAAGGTGCTGTATTAGATTGCTTTTGGGATTTAGCAAGGTGAAAATTTTGAGAAATTGGAGAAAAGTTTAGAATAATTATGAGATGACTATATATGTTTGAGGGGACTGTGATGTGATGTGCGAGAAGTTTCTTGATCTTTGAGAGGGGTATGGATATAAAATTTTGATATTATTTATAGTATGGCTGTTTTTGAATTAGAAAGTTGATTTTTTGCTCTCATTATATATTATTTCCTTTTTCCGCTTCTCGTTTTCTCCCTACACTCCTACAGCCTTATCAAGGAGTTTGATGTCATGGCCCGCAGTTGTACACGAAGCAATTCCAAAACCCTGGATTTGCTAAAAGCTCTGAAATGTTTCTAAAAGAAGTATGAAAGATTGGAGTTCATGAATCTAAGATTCAACTCAGACCTCTATCGTGTGGCAGTTCTGTGTATCAGAGAATATGCATGGTGTTCTTTACTCTCTTCAAAATATATATCCAATCTCTTCGACTCTTTCTGTTATAGGAACTTTAGTGGAACAGCACATAATACCCAGGTAAGTAAAGGCAAAACCCATCATGAAGTCTTCTTCAAACGGCTGGAACTTCTGCAACATATCTAAAAGCTCGAAACCAGCCTCAGAAGTAGCTACAATATTGTAAAGCTAATGATCCATTGCGTTAGCTCCGAGTTGTGATCTCCATTGAACTTCAGTGCCCTGCCGAGCTAGCTCTGAATTCTGCCATGTAGGATTGTAAATTATCAAACATTGATCGTAATTTCATTACTAATTTTTCAATCTTATCTTGGAATTAGTTGCATGAGTGTATGAATCGTAGGATTGAACAACTAATTAAATGATATTTAACCATCTCATCATGCGCTTTTTCTCCGAAAAGATATACATGAGGAGATTCCCACGATATTAATCATACAATTTGACATTTTGAGATTCTTTGGTCTTCCATATCAGGTCGGTGATTTGTTTGAATGAATTTTTCTGTATTTTTAGCATTGGGAAAATAGTAGAGCGGAAAAACTGTAAACGAAATCGATAAGAATTTGGGTTAGGCAAATTTTGTGTTAGAAATTGCTTGGAGTATTCTTAGATAATATAATTATACTGACTAGATCCCTTGTTCCGTCACAGAATTCAATCCATGAATTTTAAAGTTCTGGAATAATTTTCTCCAGTGATCAGGCCAGCTTCCCGTTTGGCTTGTTTTCCGATTTCCAGACATGGAAAAAGCCAAGATTTAGCCAAATAAATCAGCTGTCTGATTGCTTGGAACAAGACAAGAATATAGCAAGTCAAATGAAACTCCTGATTAGCTAGCTAAGATCATTTCGCCCAATGATTCATTAAACCACTACTTGATGTTCAACTAAAGCTTGGTGGTCACTAATGAGATAGAAGTACGTATTTTGATCTGAGTGCGAAGGGGAAACTGATAGTGGTGCAAGATTGGGCTGTGGTGTTGAAATTGTGTCATAATCAAGCGTGACGGAGGTTAATGCGAGACTGCAGGTCCAGGAATTGGTGATGAACATTGAATGATCGTCTGTCAGATGTGTAAATCATAAATAAAGAAGTATTTCTATGAAACTCGATAAGCCACCCATTGGTCTCGACTTCGAATTACGTTTCTTTCCTAAATTGCCTACCAGATTTAGACTTAAGTACATTGCCTTCTAAGGTCTTGGATTGAATATTTTTCAAGGAGAAATGCAAAGTTCGTTCTTGTGTGATGTGGTGTTCTCAACGCATGCCAAGTATTACAATCCTGACCTATATCATTGAATCAACTAGTTAACAAGATGAAATAGATAGAGGAGTCTGTGTAGAAGCACGGCAATCAAGATGAAATTTACAGGAATACTTTAGATCGGCAAGACGATGGCACTCAATTGAACAACCGCAGGTCAAGACAGTAGTAGGTAGTTCTAGGTTGCAGTCTCCGAGACAGATCATACGAGCTCAAACTCAACATGAAGTGGGCTCTGAATCTCCGGTAACGCTCTGAGAGAAATCTTCAACCTGGGTCATGGATGTGTTCATCAAGCTTCCTGGTAATCGTAGTTATTTTTCCATAGCAAATATGTGTTAATCAAGCATATATTTCACAAAATTTCAACTGAACGAATTTTCTCTAACTGAAACTGAGAATACCCCCCTATCTCTGGGTGAATTATTAAAAGTCATGAGATATCTAGGTATCAACAAAAATCGAATTTACTCCGCCTCTGAGGTTGCAATTGTAAAATGCCTGAATATCTTCAAGTTCGAGTGAATGCAGTCAGACGGTTACCCTAATTTTCTTGCCTGGGTTATTATATAACATGCAGGTCTCTGGATCTGAGAAGATTAACCAACTTTCGGTCGCAAATATGCGATCCCCAGAGAAGTCGCGTGAATCAACCTCTGATCCAAGATTCATCCCTTGACACTAAGATCTGGTAGTATCAACAGGGCATACAATGGTAGTTGACTGATACGAAAAAAAGAACATGTTGACAGCAACAAATAATTCAGATGATATACGATTCCCGTTGTCGTTGCTAACATCCAAGTGTTCGCTATCACTAATATCCCATCTCATTTCTTCCTGGCTGGTGTGATGTAAGAATAAGTCCTAGAGTTACCAAACAGCTCTGCTCTAATCTTTGCTAAAAGCTAAAATGTTTGATTGGAGTGCGAGATCAATTGCGACCTAAAACAATTGTCCAGCAGATTTCAGTGATCCCATTGGATACCTTTTGTTCATCGCAAAGAGCGAATAACTGGAGAGAAAATGTGCTTCCACATGAAAGCCATTGTTTCATGTGTACGAGTATGATTTTTGAGCTCAACATCAACCTTCTGGAGTGAATTTAATAACCCAAGTGTCAGCTTCCCCGCAATTGAAAGATCGAAACAAATGGATCTTCAAGTTTTCCAGATACTAATCATCAAGCGTATTCATCGGAAAATGAGTGAATTGATTCTTTACCTCTCTGTATGATATGGACACGTGAGCGAATCTCTAATTATGAAGTTAATGAGGTGTCACGGACCCCAAGGTATCTCGTGGCCGTTCAAGAAGATTTTGAAAAGAAGGGCATATTAAAAAAGAGATAGTCAAAAGGATGGAGGAGGAAGTAGATTGAAAAATAAGCCCATATCCAATGCGCCTTTCATCCGACAAATATCTGTGGAGTAATGATTGTTACGCAGATTGTCTCTCCAAAAGCTTTTGCACCATACGCACAAGCGTGCTAATGGTTTGCGAATCTGAAGTAAACCATGTATGACAAACAACAGCAACAAAAAAAGAAAACGACAATCAAAATAACTAAAAGACAACAACAAGAAAGACTACCAAAACACCAGATAATATCATTCTCGCCAGAACTCTCTCCCTCCTGGAAACAAATCCCTATACATATTCCCTTTCACACAACTTTGATCATCCCACTCCGCAGACACTTGAAGGTAGAAATTACCAAAAATCCACTGAATTAGATGTTGAGTAAAGTTGCCAACCTTCGATCTCTTATATAGCCCAAGAGCGCTTGCCATGGCTCCAAGAACGATGTCACGAAGCTCACAGCCCCGGTGGCCGAGCGATTCTCCCAAAGTCTACCTGACCTTACAATTCACTTGAATTGTTGGAGGCCGAGGTCTACCCCTCTTTCTTGATTATCGATTCGCACATTACCGAATGTATGCTCTGCACATTATTTGAGAGCTACAAGACCAGAAATTTGAATATCAAAGTAATCGAGTTAGACGCAAAAAAGCATTCGAATAAGTTGAGTGTCAGAAGTATGGTGTTGATCTGAAGGAAACTAATGTGTAAGCCACTGCGACAGAGCTTGATACGAGCTTAGAGGTGGTGGGAGCAATGCAAGTATCAAGCACTGATCTCGTGCAAGTACAATGTGCGTGTTGAGAGTGACAGTGTAATTATGGACGGTAACAGAATTCTCAGACGACAATGACGAATGCGATTGAAAGGAATTTCAGAATTTCTCCCAGAAATCTTGAGAATGACTTGCCGTCAAAACCCCGAATTACACACAGTACTGAACGTAGCGAAGTGCAAGGACCAAAGGCAGGCTCACAAGACATGTCATCAACGATAGCGTCGTGAATTTTCAATTTAACTCTTTACCCGCGATTACAGTAGTCTATGTATATAGCAAGAAAAGTAAATCGCAATTTGAAAATGAAGTGAATACCAAAAGGGTACTACCCAGTCCACCATCAGAGTTTTCCTTCATAGGGATTATAAGAGACCAAAGAGTACTTGGGTTTGCTCTTAAAACCTAGGAGAGACTTGATATAATTCACAAATAACGGGCCGCATTACGAGTGCACACTGGTCAACGTCGGCGAGAGATGAAGCTGTTGTAAGCTGAGAAATGTGAAGTTACCTACTTGATTGACCAATGTTTACGGGATAATGATCTGTTGGAGCAAAACGAAAGTGGATAAAGCGACAATAACGATAGAGCTAC